GGGGGAGTGGATATTGGAGGAGGGGAGGATATGGGTGGGTGTGGAGCGGCGACTCCTTCGTGGGAGAAGAAACAAGGTTTCTTCTCCCCCGCCGACTCCTAATTATTTGCCAACGACTCCTGCGAGGCGAAAAAAAAAAGACCAGGGAACGATTGGGCCAGCGACTCCCTTTCCGTCTGGGAAATTGGCCTGACAACTCCCTAGGAAAAAAAAAATTCAGAAAAATTAAGCCTTAAATTTGGGAGGCCGACTCCCGCCTTTTGGGCGGACGACTCCCGAATTTTTAAAAAAAAAAATATAAAAAATCGTTTGTGAAATTAGGCCGCCGACTCCCGGGAGTTAGAAGGACGACTCCCGTTCGACGACCTCCCGACCAAAACGGGAGTCGTCGACTAATTTTTGGGAGTCGTTTTTCCAACCCCCTTGATTTTTTGGGCATTCTGAGCTTGTGATTTGATGTAAAATTAATTTAAACATCAATTTTTAACACCACTCATATTTAGGTCTCATCAGAATTAATTGAAGAATATGATAACTCTTCAATTTAGAACCAAGTTTAATATTATTCAAAGATTTAGACTGAATGTCAGTATATCACTGTCAGCAAATCTTTCAGATAACTCAAATTCATCAATGGAAAAGTATTTTGTTTTCAAAACAAAAAAGCAACATGGCTCCAAATTAAATGAGCTCAAATCCAGAAGGAGAATCGATTCTTCTGGGATCTGATTCTGTCAGATTTATATATAAGCCTGTGAGTAATTCACTGGATTTCTACAGAAAGGATAGCGAAATTCCAGTTGGATAATTTTTCATTCATCAGTTACAAGATCCATGTTTTACACTTATTAAGCAGTCCTAATCTATCATCCACACCAACAGATTTATTTCTGCATTTGATTGTTTGAAATTCAATGTCCGAGCTTGAGTAATCATTTTTGGAACTTGAAGGCTGAACAGCTTGCCTCACATAATTTTGTTACCTATTCTTTTGATCTACTGTTAAAATATTTACTCTAAAGGCTGTTTTCAGAAATAATCAATGGAGAGCTGGTTGCATCAAATCTCTACTTTCTGGAAAACAAAAAATATGTGAACAAACTGCTTTTCAAATCTGTATGGATTGGTGGACAATGTCTGATCAAGGTTCAATTTGATTCAATTTTCATTATTTGCTGATGAATTGCTTGAAATTGATTGAAATTGACTTGTAAGATTGTATTTTAGCTTTCAACAGATTATAGAATCATGATCTCTGCTTGAAATCTTCTGGAGTTTTGGAAATAACGAGCCTTGAAAGTGTTAGACTTTGGAGTGAGCGGAGTGGAAGCACCTCATGAAGCTCTGCAGCTTCCTCATCTTCATGCAGAAATGTAAACTCTAATCCTTTTATCTTGCCGACAAGTATTGAAGATTTGAGCTAAACCATCATCGAGCACCACAGCAGTACCTGAAGATACCGAGTGTCCTTGTGTTTTTGCAGGCAAATCCAACTATAGACTCCAGCTAATATTCCAAGTCGCTCCACATCTCCTGTCCGAACAACGAAGCCGAGAACCCCCGATAAGTACAGAATTGCTACACAAGCATACGGGGCAGTCGTTGTTTATTACGGGCTTAATTATAAACACGCGGATGCCAATGCAAAGAAATAAGATAAGTTCAAAACGCATTCCTTTGATCTCTGTGAATAACTTGAGCACGAGGAGATTACGAATACATATTACTTACCCTGGTGTTTTGTCGGCGCCAGTCTGACAAGCGGCCAGGTTGCCCCTCAGGCTCCACTTGATGAGCTTGTACCGGAGCAGCGCTGGATTGACGACCACCGCCCCTTACACATTCCGGGTCATTCTGTCGACAATTCGGACATGTATTGCCAGCCGAAACTTCACCAGTGCGCCAGCGACTGACACAGTTAGAATGAAAGTAATGCCCACATTCTGGCCATCTCCACACATCTTCTTCCACCTCTTCACGGCATACTGAGCACATTCCTAGCCCTCTTTTCTCCTACAGAAATCAGAAAACCCATTTAGTGAAAAACTAACGAGGTGACATTTGCCACCTGCCTGCAGCATTAGCAAACCCCCAGAGAATGACTTACATGTTTCACGTGACGTTCTGTGCTATCTGGCCCGATTTTCAATAGAACATTCCGGCCTGCTGAAGCTACACAAAAATTAGATCACAGCGAACCCGTAGGATATCAGTCTTTCTTGATTTTGTTTTGTGAATTCTGCGGATGAATACAGAAAGTAACTTGCTCATTTGCTTAGACGCAGGTATAACTTGCGTTGCAAGTATGACATGGAAAAGCTTTGAGTTTCAAAGTCAGTGATTGGTTCAAGTATGTAAGAGCCTTATCTCATGTAAAAGGAGAATTTGGAAAGCCGTCGGGAGAAGTTTCCTTACCAATGGTAATGTCAAAGCGGTCACCAAGACCGAAATTGAAACCATTTTTAATGAGGGAAATTGGGAGTTACCGAACCGCTCAGCTTGTTCGAAGGAAAACTCTGAGAGAGAAGAGGCGGATGTGGAATCGAGCTCTTCTTCTGGAGGGCAATTTATATGTATGCTCAAAAATAGCTGGTTGGACATTCCAAGATTGAAACATGTTTTTTTTTTCTAATAGCGATTCTTGTCGCATGCTAATCATTAGTGAAACTGATAGGCCAAGGCGATGGGACGATGGGCAGAACATCAACCAGACGATCTCTGAGGATATAACGGCCGCATCTTCAGGGAATTTCGACCCTCAGCTATTCAGAGTGACTTGGGAGTAGTCTTAGAAGAAAAAAAAAAAAAAAAAAGCCTCACCACATGCTTGTGTACTATCCAGACATAATTTGTTTCCAACGAGTTTCAAAGCAGTCGACCAGATATTCGCATAGATTAGATGAGCACTATTGTTGGAAGGAATTCGTTCGACCCATTGGTCAATATGCTCCTACTGATTACACAACAAGAAATGAATGACATGTTTGACCAATTGATTGGTTTCTGTTTTTGTTTTGAACACGTGTAATGCTAGCTTGAAATAATCCTTGCAAGCTAAGCACGAGCCCTTCGTTTCAGACACCGGGGGGGACCGGAGTCTGACGATACCGGGCTCGAAGCAGGGAAGGGATTGGGTTGTTGATTGCATCGTTTCAGAGGGCCGGGTCGCCGGCAGAGGCGTCCTCCGGACTCAGCTTGGGCCAAAAGCTCCATCCATGGGCTAGGAGTTGAGGGTTTGAGTTTGTGGTATATTGCAAGAGGGTAATGGCCGCCGCCAAGGGAGTGTTTTGGACAATGATAATAGGACAGCTCACATTTGAAAGATTTCAGCAATTGTTTTTTCCTGCTATTTTGACAAAGGTTGTCCAGTTGGATTTTCTTTCTCCTCAAATTTTCAATTTTTTTTTTTAAAAAAAAAAAAAAATTCATATGAATAAAGCACATAAACTCAACTGGGATCAACCAGCTCAAGGAAGATTCCCACCAAAGAGCTTGCTCTGAGCTAGTTGAATCCTTGTCGAGTTGTCAAAGCTTTTTGAGGAAGAATTTTTTTTTTCAGACATGGACAACCATTTCTGAAGTTATAGCTGTACATGAAACCAGCAGAGCAAGTTGAGTTGGCAGGCTTAAAATTGGCCGGTGTGTCTGCCAAATTTTTCAAGTTTTTTTTTTGAAACCAGCAAGCAGAAATTTCATCTTAAATCAACAAGATTTTATTCATATGTGAACCGTCCTAATACATAGGACGGTTCATGTCTGGCTTTTTAGCCAGTCTGCGGATTAGCTGCTATGCTGGTTTGATGAAATTTTATTGTAAAATTGATAGCTTGTCCCCCCCCCAAAAAAAAACGAACTTGCTTGTTGGTTGCTGGTTGCTATCATTTTCTCTCAAAATACGGGGATATCCCAGCCAATTTTAATGATCATGCTGTTTCCATCTGCTGGTTCAGTGCTGATTTGCCCAATTTCTTTCCTACATTTCGCTGTCTTTTTTAATACCAGCAAGCTGCAGGTGGCTGATTGTCGAGCTAGATAAAATGCTAGACGTGAACCGTCCTAGTAAGTGCTAAAAAAACCAGTATTACATCTATTGAAGAGGGCTACCTACGGACGCAGAAATTGATTTTCGCAATACGGTGCCTTTGTGCGAATATAGCCTATACATAGTGGGCTGGTTTTAGTCTCTGTTCTGGGATTGGAGCAGTGGTGTGCGGCAAGGGATGTGGAATCCGGAGTCGCCTGCAACTACAAACTAATGCCGATCTTGGTCAAAGGACCGGAAAGTTGTGTGGGTAGCCTAACGAGCCTCAAAGAAAGGACCCTGCAGATATGGGCCGTCGAAAGTGGTGCACTTGAAATGTTCTGGTTGTGGGATGGAGACCTTTCGCGTGAGCTGTCATGAATGAGACCCGGGACATCTGATCTGGGATCCCTTAATTAAGCTGTTTGTTGACAGATTATTTTTTTCATCTTTTTTTTTTTTTTTTTTTCTCTTTCCACAGTCCAAGAAGCCAGTCTATCCTGAGTATCATTTTATTTTTTTGGGGAGGGGAGAGTCCAGCTTGATCTGATTACAATCCTCATGAGAATATTCGAATTGAGAAACTGCTGAACTCCACCAGATCTGATCCAGTTGAAGCAGCGGCCATACTGCATCGAACACCAAATTAGATATCCATAGTCATACTCATACTCATAGTCATTGTCCCCCATCTCAGGCTCATATTCAACTTGCATCGGTCAGTCCCCCCCTTCCTCTTGACCATCATCACCCTCCAAAAACCAACCCAACCACAAACAACAACAACAACAACAACAACACACCCATCATGACAGAGACTGACCTCCTTCCAACCTCACACACAGCTGCTCACCATGTCCGACGACTTCTGTCCCACCGATCCCGCGCTCACCGACCCGGCACTGGTGGCCTTGGATAATGCATTCATATCAGCCCACAACACTCATGCAAGCTCATCATCAAGAAGCCTCAAACCACTCGCTCAGAGGAGAGCCAGCTCATCCAGACGAGCAACCGGCCCCAAGAAACGAGCCCATACGACCCTCAGCCAGAAGGTCATGATCATCAACTTCATCAGGGAGAACCCCACCTGGGACCAAGCCACCGTCGCCAAACACTTCCAGAATAACGGATTCCCAACACTCTCCCAATCGACCATCTCCAGATACATCAAGGATGAAGAACGTTATCGGAACCTAGCGCTCGACCCCTCAAAGTTACACGTCAAGAAACAGAAACAAGCTCAATCCCCTCAGATCTTAAGCTGCATGGAATTCTGGTACTATCAAGCACTCGGCCAGAGCTCAGATCCTTACTTCAACCTCAACATGGATATCCAAAGGAAAAAGTGGAAGGAGTTTGAGAACCTACTGGCGATCCGTAACAAAAAACGAGCTACCTCACCGAGCAGCTTCGAAAGTTTCAAGAATCTGTACGAGTACCCCTTCCCATCTTATGATCTAGACTCCCTTCCCCAACAAAACAGTGTTCTAACGCCCCTGGCTTGCTCATCAGTCCCAAAAGATTTCGTCACCCAACCGATGCAAGACGTACGGCTCCTATCGACCTGGCAGCCGAAAAGGAACGTCTACGCCATCTCACCGACGCCTATCAACTCGAAGACATCCTGGCCATGGATGAAATCTGTCTATCATACGCGTATGTCCAGCTCTTAGCCCAGCGTCTCGTCCATCTCAGCTCGACTGATCCTTTCTATGTTTTTACCATGCAGCTGTCCACCCTCTGAACCGAGCTCATTGTATGCGATGCCCAAGTTAACGATCGCGTTGACCTGCTCGGCTGACGGCTCATGGAAGGACGACCCAGTCATCGTCGGCCAGACCCCTATGTATGTCGCTTACCCCTCCGACATTACCACAGACGATTGTGGATTCAAATACTACTGGAACACCAAATCAGTCATGACCTGCGCGATTTGGGAGAGGTAAGACTTTCACACCCACTTTGTCACACTATTATTCCGCCCCACCTCATTGATCTTCTACAATCATTCCTAACGTCATTTGTATTCTATTTTAACCAACCACTCTGGTCAGATATTTGCTCGATCTCGATGAGAAATGTCGCCAACGTGACCGTAAAGTTCTTCTCCTGGTGGATGTTACTCATGTACATCTGGTACCGGAGCCCCCACTGGCAAATGTTCAAATCGAATTTATCGACACCGCGAGAATATTCGGATGCCACCCCTCCAACCCTCCCTGTCATCCCTTCGCAGCTGGAATAACCACTTACTTCAAGTCTGAATATCGTGTTCGGTAGGCTCTATCTGCCAACTTGTTATCATGCGGATCACTGATCAACCCCCTGATTGTGTCAGGTTTTGCCTCCGCGCCCTTTCCTCTGACGAGTTTGGTCTCCTCGATCTTTACAATCTCGACCAAGCTGCAGCTACTCGAATCATCCAAGACGCCTGGAACTGTGTGACTCCCAACGCGATCACCCAAATATTCAGACGTTCGGGCGTCATTTCCAGTCGATCAGATGATGACGATGCTCAATATGAGGAGTAAGTGAAAGTTCTGAAACCAGATGTTTTGAGATATCGATGACTCACAATCCTTCAAGTTTTGATCAACTTAATTTCAGATCCAAGGAGGCAAGCATTGAAGATGGCACATCGCTCTATGATGCAGCAATTGAGCAAAGTATTGCAAGCCTGACGATGTGCTTAACTCAATTGACAATCAAAGTGATGAACCTCTCGGAACAAAATGAACTGGAAAATCGGGAGCCCACTCCGGTACCCAGCGAGATCGACATGAACATCAACCCGGAACTGACGGCCCAGGCTGCCCAAGTGATCGGCCTTGCCAGATCGGACCGACAGAAGAAGCAGAGGAAACCAGAAGAGCAAATCGTCAATGCCCACGAGTTTATCGATATCGATTGCAGCCTACCAACCGAGATTTATTGGGACGAGCAGGACATTGTCGAGCAGGTGACCCGTGAGGGTGCTGGGGCATGTTGGCCGATGACCGGTCATCCAATTCCTTCAACCTCGAGCTCCCCACGAGGGATGTGGAACGGCGAAGAGTCGAGAACAAATGGCAACACAAAGAATCTCAAACGGAGTGCTAGTGCGATGACTGAGCATGGGGACATCATGGTCACCGAGAACGCGCCGTCGCCGATCCGACGACGGCACGTCCGAGCGACCGAGATCCAAGTCACACCTCCCCCGCCTGCGCCCGCCTCCAACAACATCTTCGAGCAGCCCTCATCGCACCCATCCCAAGGCACTACTAATGGAAGACTTGACGGCCATTATAACGATTATAACGAGCTCTCCAACTTTTCACAACAGATCTCTAACCTCGAATCGCTTCGCTCCTTCTGCGTCGAGCTGATCGAGAAAAGCCAGCTCGATGATGATATGGCTGGGAGGATCCGCTCCTCCGTCGTCCAGGATTGCATCCCGATTCTCACGGAATTAGAGGACGAATTCAAGGCTCTGGAGGCTGCTGACCTCTTGAGACTCGTCTCTGGGTAAATGATTTCAATCCGGTCTGATGGTTTTAAAAAATTGTCACTTTCAATATGTGTAGATTTGTGGACATACTCTATAAATCCTCATCCATCCTCCCCCTCCCCTTTGCTCTTTTAACCTTTCATTGCACTCGTACTTTCCCATTTTACACACACAAACACACACACATATATATATATATATATTGTATATGTATGAACATCTTAAATTTCTTATTTTTGTTCAGAGGTTATTCTTAGGCAAATTTCATGTTTTTTTTTTTTTTTTTTTTTTTTTTTTTTTTGAAACCTTTAACTCCCCCACCCCCTTGAAAAAATTGAATGTTAATATATTTACTGAAATATGTTGACAAAAAAATGAAATGAAATGAAATACAATATATTGATCAATTGAATACACTTAAAAAAACAGATGTTATTTCCAAATGGGTACATTGTGCTTGTGGGGAATTCTGTTTATTGGGAGTTGGTTAATTGACTCCCAAAGACTGTCACTGGACATCTGTTGGGAGTTGTTCCTCCAATTGGATACCTGGACTGAGGAGTCGGCCATCCAATTTTGGGGGTTTTTTTTTTTGGGGGGGGGGGGGGGAGTTGACTCTCTCCAACACACCCTGGGAGAGAGAACCCCTTTGGGCGGGGGAGGTCTTTGCACCTCACTGACTGGAAAGCCCCTTCTTGTTGATGAAGGGTTGTAACCTTCACTGACACAAAAGGAATTTCTCTCTTGTCAGTGGGGTCAAGCTACCTCATGAATAAAGGGGTTCCCTTTCGGTCAAGTTTTAGAGACTCTCCCAACCGCCCTCCCCTCACTTGGGGAGGAGAGGTTTGGAAGTCAACTCCCAAAGGATTAAAAAAAAATATAAAAATGAAAATGAAAATGGATGGCCAACTCCCAAGTCCAGGCATCCGATTGGAGGAACAAATCCCAAATGGACGTCTGGCGACAGTCTTTGGGAGTCCCCAACAAATCCTTGGGAGTCATTTGACCAACTCTCTTCTTTCCATTTTCTTGTTGGATGGAGGATAAGCAACAGGTAAAACAAAAGTTTGAAGAGTGTGTGGACCTACACAAGGTAATGATCTACATATCCAGGGAATGATGTAGAGCTATTTAACACTAGGCAGCTACGTGGTGGGGTTCATGATAGCATTTCTTGCTTCTTTGTTTGTGGTGGTCAAAAGAATAAAAAAAATTCTTGCAAGGAGCTATTATGAACCTCTCATTGGAAACAAGTCTCTGGTCTCTTGTAGAGTTTTTCTCTTTTTGGACATATTCAGTTTTGCAGCAGATTCATGTAGAAAGTTTGGCTGGCTGTGGACAATCCTTGCCGGGCATGACAGCCATCTCTGAATCTGCTCTAGCCGCTACTGTGATTGGACTCGTTTTACAGACTACAGACTTCGATATGTATCTGATTGGGGGTTGATTTGATCTGATTGATCAGACCATCCTGAGGATCTTGATTTGGTTGATCAAAAACATCACCCTGATCAAAGAATTCTCATCCATTTTCAAATCATTCTGGATTGTTAAGAATCGTAATTCGCATCACATGGCACATCAATCTCATAACTCAAGTCAGCACTCCCCCAGAAGATATGCACAAATCCACTAACAGTTTGATGGTGCTAGATCTTAACTAGTTGAATGTATCTGCGTATACTTGGAGCCAAATTCTCACTAGAAACAAAAAACCACATATCTCGACAGATCTCGACCCTAAACTCCATCTTGCCAAAACTTACAAAACATGACCACAATACGACAGATTTAGTATTTAAGCTCATCCCAATACTAGGCGTGTGGTTATAAAGACCCCCTAAGACTCTAATCTATAAAAAAATGCCCAGGTGGAAGTATTACATACTCAAAAATTTTGAGCTCAGTAAGACAGTCCAATTGGTGGGGGAAAATCTTAGGTTTTTGAATCAGATGTTCACAAGGAGAGATTTGGAAATCAACTCGTTAAAGGGTTGTGAAGATGTGTGCTAAATCAAAGTCCTGAAGTCTATAAGGGCGCTAGCTACCGCCAGATCAATCATGTCAATTGCTTTTTATCGTCCTGGAATGGAAACAATCCGAAAATAAACTTGAGGAGAGACAGCGCGTCACTTTCGTGTTTGGGGGTGTTAGGATCACTGCATGACGGCATGTCTGGAGCCGCATTCGAGTTGGGCTGCTTCGATAGGAGGGCCCGGTCTGCCCTCCTAGGGGCTGGCTGGGTGACAAAAGAGCTTCCTTGTATGCAGGAAGTAAGATAATCTGAGCGGCGTCTTGGCCGGCGACGAAACTACCCCAGACTCCAGAAAGAAATTGTAGCCTCTACAAAGTAGTGGGAGTTGAGCCAAGATTCCGCCACAAAGCATGCCGATACGTCGCGGTTCCCGCCAAGGAATTGGCGAACCTGATTTGACCTGCAGGTTGTTGCTAATCGAGCCTGATAGCCTGATTGATGTCGGCTTGTTGATCATCTAGCAACCCAGCTTGACCACGCATAAGCGCTCTACATATGCGTCCTCATGACCAAAAATCTTTGTAACTTCTTCAATCCAGGTGAGGTTCCGTGCAAGATTGGCCCGGTCTTCCGGTCGAACGGAAACCTGAGTACGTTTTCAATGTCAAGGTTTCTTGATCTCGCAACGCAATAAAGACAGGGGTCATCCACAAAAGAGAATGATCATCCAGCATCCCCATTTCAAGTTCTGGCGATGATGTGGAGGAACCGACAAAATTTGAGCTAAATCATTGTGTGGAGATTTTCTGTTCCTGCTGCAACCCGGCCTTGAAGCGCTTCAGGATTCAGGCTTCGGCTTGGACAACAACCATCAGTAAGGAGTCACGGTCTACATTATTCTCCCCATTGTTTTCGACATAGCACATGCAAAGCAAATTTCGAGTTTGAGTTTGTGATATGATGATTCATCCAGCGGACACTCGACCTTCCAACGCCAAGATAAAAATGCTTGGAGGACATAAATAAATGCGGTTGACTGACTGCACCAGAAAGCTTTGACCTTAAATCCAACAATCCTTCTTCAAGATCCATCCGGAATTCTTCTGAAACCAACCAAGAAGATAACAATCAGGTTTTTAAATTACACTTGTTTTTGAGGACACGCCAGTGAAAAGTATCAGCCGGAAAATGGGTTTTGTTGCTTGGATTTTTGTCTATCTTTCAGTCTTTCCCTTGAACGTTTTGTCAAGTTAGTTAAACTCTTCTCACAATGTCTGCTACCCGACACCCCTCTGACGCAATATACGGCTTCTATCCCTCAGGAAATGTGGTCCCTTTACCTCTAGTAAAAAGACAAAGTGCACAAGCGGGCATCGTATCAGATCGTGACCACTTTTACGATGTCGCAGCGGCGCCGACGGGCCCTTTGCCCTCGCGAGCCTCCGGTGACGCTCCCTGGGTGAGGCTTCCTTGGTAATAAAATGATAATCAACGAGTTCAAGATTGTCACAAGGATAAATGTCAAATTAACCTGTTTTTCTCCTTTATCCACTTTTTTTTCATGCATCAAATCGATAGACACAAGCGGAAAGCTCTTATAAAAGGATGATCGCTTGTCCATTCGGTATTCAGAACAAAGACAGAGGTCTGTTACGCGTTGCAGTAAGAATATTTTACGGGTTTCTGTTGAACTGACCGAATCTTGCTTTGAAATTAGGGATTGTGCTACTGGTTCCCGGCACGGGTGAGTCGAAAACAGAAAGCAAATTTATGATCAAGACTCTATAAGGCTGAGAACACATTTTTCGACAGCGGGCAATGCCAGTGAGGTCTACAAATCTGTGCGCCTACCCTACAAAGTCGAGTTTCCTTCAATCTGCTCAACGGTACCTTCAATTTTTGCATTAAAAACAATCCAGTCGGCTTATTACGCAGACCTACCATCGCAAGGATTCGATGTATGCTGGGTAGATACACCCAGTGAGTCCCAGATTCTTATCCCGGCCTCATCCTTTTTGTTTCGAAAACTGATGATCTGTCGTTGGAAATGCTTGAACGAAGATTATTCGATCAGCGATATGCAATTGTCGGCCGAATTTGTCGCTTACGCGATCAAGAGTCTGGCCCCTCAATCAACCAAGACTGGGGGCAAAATTAACATTGTTAGCTATAGCCAAGGAGGTCCAAATGTGAGTCCAGGTTTACTTAGATTTAAAAATTTCGAGCATGTTGAAGGCGATCAGAAACTAATCTGACAGACCCCGAAAACTGACTTCCCGACACGCCATCTAACAAGGTCCAATGGGCTTCGAGTTTGTTGGATTTTTTAGATGTTTTTTTCAAGCTTGCGGGTCAAGGAGATAGAAACTGACCGGCTCTAATCAAACAGCTTTTTGGCCTTCGATTCACAACCTTGTCAGAGGCCACGTTTCACTTGCCCCTTCCATGAAAGGCACAGCATCCAACCTACTCCTTTGCCCCGGTTCTAATCTCGCCGGAGGGTGCTTGCCTTCAATTTTGCAACAGTCAATGGTCAATCTAGTTCCTCATCAAAGGCCTTTCCGTGAAACAAGTCGTTTTAATATTGTCCTAATAATCTCGCGCTTCTGGGCGTATAAATGTGTAGGGTTCAACTTACATGACTGCAGCTAACAGCGACAAGGACACTCGTAGTGCTGCCTACGCGCTTATCCCCTCAACAATCATCTATACGACTAGCGATGAGATTGTGACACCTCAGCTGGGTGATTTGGTAAGCTTGCCATTGAAGTGTGCAAAGTCCATATTAGTTTTAACATGAATCGTTTTTAATTCTTTACAGGCATCCTCTCGACTGATTGGGGCTTCTAACATAGCTCTTCAAGAGATATGTCCCTTTTCCGTCAATGTTGATCATTTGTGAGCATCACTCATCAATTATTTTTCCTCATTCCATTTGACGTGGAGGATTTACATCATTATAATGTAGTGCCATTCCGGGCGATGTCGGAGCGTACGGCATTGCGCTTGATGCCTTGTTAAAAGGCCGCCCGGCTCAGACTTCGACGGTAGATCGTGAGTACAAATCTTTTACCTGATAATTATAATTCTGCAAACTTGCTTAACTGAAAGGATGTTTTCTATATTGTTCACCGATGTTATTGAATCCAGGCTCGTATTGCATCAAGACAGGTTAGTAACTCACTCGGCTGCATCATCCTACTACAGAAATCTAAGGCTGAGGTAGAGCTTCTCAACGGCACGACTCATCTTTCAAGCCTCGAGCCTCGGATTTCAAGTGGGCAACTCAGAAAACAACCTCCGGTTTGGTTTCCGTACTGCAGTTGGCAGCCAGAGAGACCAAATGATCTCTTCGCAATTTCGAACCCTGGTATGATTCAACCTCGAGTTAACTTGCCTCACCTTCGGCGCAGGAAGCTGATTGTAAATGGTCCTGGTGCATATGCAGCGAGTAACGGCCGAACCGCCACTGCAGGTACTTCACCTGATTTGCTTCCATTTTTGAACCCATCAATAGCTTTCTGATAAAATTATTTTAACATTGTCATTTTCAGCAATACGTGTGCGACCGTGGATACGCATCGTCCGGATGTACCCGCAACGGTTTCAGAGGCAAGCCGACCAAATCGGTATTCCCCGTAGTGCCTTGAGGAAAGCTTAGAATCAGACTAGTTACAGTCATTCTTATGCTGGAATTTGTCACAACCTTATTCCTTGCTGGGGAAAGGCTCATCATCGTCACATTGGATGTGAAATTAAAGCGCAAATGGGTAAATCGATTCAGATTCCTTTTGCGATTGCTGCTCATAAATAATAGATTGTGTTCGCTTTTATCAATTCCAGAGTTTAGATATGTGATCTAGAATGCTATTTAGCCTTGTTTTCTTTCCACAAGACAGGAGCAAGGTGCATCTCCAACTCAAGCGTCGCCGTTTTTGTGGAGCTTGGGAGCCGGGCAAGCAAGGCCGGTTCAGGGCTGACATTCACAGTGAGGTGGCTCATGCCAGAAGTATCAGGCAATGTGCCAATTGGGCCGTGGATCAACATCATATTTGTAAACCAGAATGAAACTGAGTGGAAAAACATGTATGATGAGTGGACAAAGTAGCAGACACGAAGTCAAGAGCCGTGAATTGAGGATACGCATACGGATGAAAACTAATCAAGGGTTACAATTGTGGGGGAAAAGTCACTGATGATTGTTGTCTGTATAAGCGAAAGAGTTGATCGGAAATGTATTGCAGTCACAACGGTCTACCATTCTTTTTGGTGAAGGGTCCATTTGTGAGGATGCATTTAAGCAGATCGTTAACTACTGACAGTCGGTTGGGTCGCCCCATGTACTTGACATTGGAGGACTGATATGGCAAAGATTGTTGAATGTCATCTCGCCGGTGCCGTCAACGACCATCGCCTTGAGCTACACATCGATGTGTCCAGAAATTTCAACGATCAGCTTTTGAGGAGTCTTGCAATCAAACCGGATAAGTTTTGGAAGATTTCAATACGGTATGTTTACTCACGATCGAATTCGGCGGGATGATGATTTTGTGGTTCCAACAGCAGACTGTCTGTTCCATACCGGTACCGAGGCAATTATAATATCCCGGATGGCCTTCTGTTGGGTTTGCTTTCTTCACTATTGATCTCATGTTGACCGGCAGTATAAAACACGATCAGTAATGGCCACAAGCAATCAAAACGAGAAAGAAAAACTTACACAAGTAAGAGTCCTGCTTGGTCTGTGAGTTGTAACCAGCTTTGCGGGCGCAACCTGCTTCCCTCATTAGGGGGTTAGACCTGGTGCAGCCGAAAGTGCACTTTTTCCTTTGGTCGGTGGCCAAGTCAGCGGCCGCGAAGCCGCAAGCGACAATCGCCAAGACTAAGATTGATCTAATCGAGAGTAGCATGGTAAATTGGGATTGGCAGCGGATCAACGCTCTAGAGATTCAAGGAAATAAAGCTTGTATGAGAAATCTGTTTGGTGAAGAGCTACGTTGGTGAAGAAGACCTGGCTTCTTCGATAGGTGGATGTGTTAGCAGAGGGGAAACAAGGTATGTAAGCCCCGCCGTCTTATAAATGTTGAGGCTGGCTCCTGGGGAAAATTGACCGCCGTACATTAAAAGCCGTAAAGCGCCTCCAGCTCACTCTTCATGTTGCGCCCATAAGACGAGTACCTTGGTGACGTGAGTAGGGCGCTGCAATACGTTTACCAACGGCCGAAAGGCGTACATACTCTATCCAGGCGAGTTGCAATACCGAGCTATGTCGAGATCATGTACTGCATGTATATTATGAGCACCTGATCTAGGCGCAAAGTGAAGGTACAATGAATCGCCCGGCTCTGCGCGCGGATACTTGTTTTGACGGTGTTGTACCGGAACACCTATTAGGGAAATGAAGATCATAGTCAGTTGGAGAAGTTTACAAAATAAAAATCCCGTTGTAGGACAAGGGAGAGCAAGAGGAACTTTAGTGAACTATCAAATGAATCCCGCCATCCGGAAAAAAAAACCCGAAAACCTGGCAGCTGACTTTCACCTGGACGGCGGAGATTATGGGGGGGACTGGGCCAGGTTTTGCAAAAAAATTAGGAAAGAGGTAGGTTTAGGAACAAAAGCACCATTAAACCTACTTCTATAGCAGGGCGGATGGGAAGTTTTCAAGAAATTTTTAATTGGTAAATGTAAGATTGGTGATAGTTTGCAAGTACTGAAGAGGAGTTCGTTTTATAAGTCCCTCCTTCGGAGTGGCGTTCCACGCCAGTGAGCCAAGCCAAACAAGCCATCGGCAGATTCAGATCTCAAAAAGTTGAGATTCAAATGTACAAATTTGAACAGCAAAGCTACATACATAAATGATTCTGTAGGGTCTGCAGATCTCGACACCATGATGCATACCCAAAATGGACAATGAGCGAGAACATCGGATGTTCACCAATTGCATCAAGAATCAATATACATACACACATAGCATTGGGATGCTGGCTTTGTCTAACGAGTAAGTCTTCTCATAGTTCCTCGTACTTCTTTGCCTCGCCATTCATGGATGTTAACCCAACTGTTCGCCTTAGGATCGCTTACCTTCCGACTCTGCGTTGCTTCTTGACGTTTGTGGGCGTGATGAAGGGAGCTGAATGAAAAAAACCGTATGTCCTCGTTTCCTTTTCCATGACAAGATCGGAGAGATGCACGAGCTTGAATTCTATTTGCCTGGATACTTTTTTAGCTGTCGTCGAACTTCTGTTTTCTGTCGGACAAACCGAGACCTCAGTTCTCATCCAAATCGAAAGGCCTTTCCTGTTTCGTTTTGTGACAATCGACATGTACACCGGCAGCTCAAGTGATCATGAACGTCAATCGATCCGACCAAGTTTGGCCGACCTCGCCAGTGACGATTTCTTCGAGAAACTTCAAGTCGAAGCCAACCAGCTTAGAAATACTCAAACCTTCACAGCGAATAACAGTAATCCGAATGCCTTACCTCCTCTTGGATCCATCCGGGCGAAAGCTGAACCTCCCAGTGCTTCGACGCCCAAAAAGTCGCGCTTTGCTCAGCAACGAGAAGCTAAGCTACATTCAAGCCAATCCTCGGACAGCAATTTGCCCGTCCCAACTGGCCGGTTCAACTTCGACCTCGGCTTGGAAGACAATGATAGCCGAGATCGCTCGCAAGCCAATGAGACCGACTCTAAAAGCCCGCCCCCTCTGATGGCAGAAATCGTGGAACGCTCTTCAAGCACATCAAACCCACCAAACAATTGTTTCGATCCGAATTTCCGACCAGATGCTGTTTCGGCTGTGAAGCCTCCAACATTCAACACTCCGCAAGCTTCGGTTCCACCCTGGGAGCTTAGACGATTAGCTAGTCGTCACTCTTCTCAAAACTCTCAACGGACATCCATCGAAAAACCTGATTTCCCAATGACGCAGAACCAACATAGCAGTGACGTTCTTCCTGGAGGGTCAGCGAAGGAGCCGTTTAATGAGACGGAGAAGCGTCAAATCTCGTCGGAAAATGAAGCCTTGCTCTCGCAAATGAGTCCCGATGAAATTCTCCGGGAGCAAGCGGCCATCAAGGCCCAGTTGATGCAATCTAATCCGGATTTATTGGCCAAACTCCTTACGAAGTTTAAGAAACAAACGCCAAGCCATCAAGTTCCGACAGATATCCTCACTCCCCCCGCTCCAGATATCCCTACTCCCCTCGCCCCGACTCCCAAGGAACAGAAACATGTGCGCTATGCTCAAGATGATGTGATACCAATCGACTCCCCATCCCCTCAAAAGGAGAAAGGCTCTTGCATGCCCAACCAACATATTAAGCCCAATTCTGATGGCTCAAATGACTGTTCTCAGTCTATACCACTGAGGTTTGACTGGAATGGCGTGCGAGTAATCGATCACGAGGATCCTCATCAAGTCGACCGTTCGTCCGAAGAAAACTTACACGTTCATCACACTAGTACTTACACCGTCAGACAGTTGCTCCGACTCATCCTCTCTTCTGTGCCCTCTCAAAGGATCATGGGTTTCAAGATCGTCACCCAAATCGTCGTCCGGTACTTCGAGACATCGGGACATGGCCTTGATGATATCCAGCTGGCCCTTCTAACTGAAGAGCTCAACGGCGCAAGCTTGGAAATAATGACGATCGCCGCGCAAGCTACTCGTGAGCGGAATTTGGGAATTGCAACAAGTGCACTGACCTTATTAGGCTCAATTCTTTCAAAGGCATCCGCGGCTCAAAGCAGCAGCTCAAAGCACAAATGCATCGTTCAGCCTGCTTGGATCGAGGAATTAATAACCCAAACCACCATCTTGGCCGACTTTCATTCCCACCTCCAGTACCAAGAATTGCCAAGGCTATCGTTGACTGCCATCGTTCAGATTCTTCGTGACCTGATCATATTAGGAGATTCAGCTAAGGTTTCAGAGGAAATTGTTAAGAGGCCTTCTTTTCTAGAGCTCCTCATTCAAGTCCTCATCGCTGTTCCATGGCCCCTGAACAGCAAATCAAAGCTCGAGGTGCCTGATCTATCTGCTTTTGAGCTCCTTCTTGAGCTATCAAAGAGTTCGCGAACTTGCAGTCGGTCAATACTCGATCGAGGCCTGTTGACACCAATGCTAAGGTTCATTGCACTACCATATTGGAGCCTAGTGGGAACATCTGAGAGTGCTACCGAAGGACTAATCCCGGCACCAAACGACCATGTCATGGGAGTACTTATCCGTTCCATGTGCTATCAATTTGATTTGATCTCAGTTTTTGCTGGTTATGGGTTGGGTGCTAACCTCAGGACGACTCTCGATCCACTACTGAGAACTACTACAATCGGATTACACAACATCCTCAAAGACGCAGTCTCGGGCTCTTCTTCCGTTCCTCCATGCCGAGCCGCCCAGGAATTCACACTCATCTCAGCTTTCCTGAAGCTGCTCCAAAGCTGGATCCAGTGTGCCGACGATTCTCACATCTGTGATCCACCCCATAGCATCACATGGAGTCAGGTTACAGAGTGGGAATCAAGCATCCTTGACTTTTTGAGGCTCTCTTCAATATCCAATTCACGTTCTCCCGGCTCAAACAAAGTTCTTGCCTCCGCATGCGACTCACTCTCAACCTACATCGGAAGATCGTTCACCAAAAAATTGAGGATCAGTGCTTGTCTTGTTAGTCTGGATTTTGTGATGCCTCAGCTCGAATCCATCTTTCAGACAATCGCACATAACGTAGTCAATTCGTCTTACGAAGATTATCGATCTCAATCGGAATCCTTCCAATATCAGCTGCTCATAAGCTTCGCGAGACTGAAAACTTGCCTTTCTCGAAGTAAATCCGAAGAACATCCCTCCCTTCCTGCTACGCATTTCCAGCATGATTTTCCCGACAAGACATTTGCTCTAACGTGTCGATTGGCCTTTGATTATGAAGAATTGTCTTTGCTTCCATGGGCGCTATCGGTCTTTCACCCGAACGGTGATAGCACATCGGATTTGCACAGAATCTTGATGGCCGGTCTGCTAGTGCGGAATTCAGATGGGATAATTGTTAGCGATCTTTTGGCAGAAACCTTCAAGCGGTGCCAATCAAGGGTCAACGCTGAATGTCAAAATTCCATCAAGCCGTCGACACCAGTCATCGACTTATCCCGACTTTTGCCAATATTCAATGATTATGTCGATCAGTCCGCCCCGTCCACTCAAATCTCAGATCCCTCGCCCCATCAGCTCCAAAATCAAATGAGTCAGAATGACAAGTCCGCATTCTTGCTATCTTCAACATGGCCTCTACTGGCGATCGCTTTTCTGAAACCAGGACACTTAGCCTCAACCACCATCACTTCCAAAATCAAATCCAGCGAGGTTGTCAGAGCAAGCTTCGCTATGACTGTTGTCGTACAATCCCTTCTGTGCGACATGCAAAGCCGATTTGAAAGTCTTTCGAATATCTTTCAGGCCTTACTACTCGACAAACTCTCGACATGGAAGAATGTGATCACAGCCATCATCGCCACGACCTCTCAAACATACTGTCTTGATCATCAGTCTACCGAGGAATCATTGGAATCAGTTTTTGAAGATGAAGCTTCTGCTCAGCTAATCATCCGTCTCATGAATATTTCCCATCAACATCCTTCTCGTCGTTCCCAGTCAAAGGCTACCAAACCAATGAGTCGATCTGAAGTACTCAAATTTCAAGAGTCAGAAGATGGAGAGTTGTACATGCTTTTCACCAACATCCTGGCGGCCTTTGATTGGGGATCGTTTGGCAACCATTCATTCATGCGGATCTTGGTCCCCTTTCTTTCGATGAAAAGAGGCCGAGAATTCCGAGGGAAATTGTTCAGTGACCATGGGGATATCTTGAAAAATATGAGGATCAGTTTGGGTGATGTCTTTGGTGTAGATGATGAGGTTTGTGGGGAGAGAGTCGAAGTTGATTATCAGCAGCTTAAGGAATACCTTTACCCTGTGGAAGAGAATGCCCAAATGCTTCATCTGTTTGCCGAATTCCTCAGCAAGCATTCGACTCTTATCAATCCTAAAGACCATCCGTTCTTGTTCCTCTACTTGATCCACCATCTGTCTAGTCAAATTTGGAATGTCAATCTTGAGCCCCGACTGCGAATGGACCTATTGAAAGTGATCCTAAGTAAGGCTCAAGACGAGCGGATCTGTCGCGCCCTTTTACGTTACGATCAACCAGCCCCTTCCAATGATCGCTCGGGAGCGACATCTCCCTGGACTCTCCGGTTGACTATCTTCGACCAAGAATCAGATGGGGATCATCTCGAAAATCGCTGTAAACTTCTCTCGCTTCGAAAACTCTTCTCTTCTCTTCCTGGCGATCATAATGCTTCTATCGATCGTCTCAGGAAATTTGGCTGGGATCTGCTCGAAACTCAGCCCTAAGACAAACCCAATCGGTTAGTCAACCGTTTTTTTATTACCACCTCAAGTGATTCGGTTAACTCATTCTCCTTTCGTTCCTCCTCTTTTAGGCTTCAAATTATATATCCAAACCTGCTTAATTTTCTTCTATCTTTCTTTGCGTTTCTTATAAATCCAAGTTTCTCATTGAGTGGCAGACAAAAAGACGATTTCTTTCGGTGAGTCCTTTTCTGTCCTATCCATTATCTTCTTAAGATGAAGCCAACAAGAAACAGACAATCATTAGTTTGTTATATACGGCGGTTTTGGTCTGACCGATTTTTTTTGTTTTTTTTTCTGCCTCTCTTTTGGTTGGGATCAGGCGACGATACTTCAAAATGTACAAATGAAACAGGAATAAATTCTTCTTTTTTTTTAAAAAAATCAAATCAAATCAAAAAAACATTTTGGGATTGTGCCATAATCTTTTCTTCTTTTTTTTGGATTCGTTCCGATAGAAGCAATTCAAATTTCTTATTGGACACTTTTGTTTAAATATTCATGAACTTGATGGCGATTATAATCATATTCGAAAAGAAAAGAAAGTCCTACTGGATCAGTGCTCTATAGATTGTTGTATTCAAATGTTCATTCCAGATCCCAGGTCTTGTATGATGAAAGAGCAAATCTTATGATGATTGAGGCAATACTAGGTCTTAGTTCAGAACTTTCTCATCAGAGGATTTCCAAGCAACTTATTTGGAGACAACCTGGAGTGTTTCTTGAATTAGAAGATAGGTACCTGAAGGGTGGCGGCCATGGCTATGTCTTGAGAAGAATGAGGACTTGGTGTGAGACTGGAAGAGCCTGTTGATGGTATGGATCAACATCAAAGCCCTTTTTTACAGTTTACCACTGTGCAAGCTTGCAGTGTCGGTCCTTCTTGCTCCCTGATGACTGAGCTCAATCCATCCATACTTCTCATCAGTCTATTTAAGTATCTCCTTCTTCTTTTGTTTTATTCTTGATGTAGGTTTTTTTTTTTTTGTGATGGAGTCTGAGGCTGAACTGTGAAATTGGATCTGTTCGTCGGTGTCTACCAATTCCGATTACTCTGTCAGTCTACCAAAAACAAACAGGTGAGTTCTCTTAATCGGGTGCATACATGAATACTTGATTGCTTTCCTCCTGACTCCCTTCCACTGACTCTATCTCTTGCCTTCATCAGTTTTTTTGAACAGAATCATCTCCAACCTCGTCGTCATCTTCGTGTTAGTCTCCAGGATCCCAGAATAAACCAGATGGCCAACGGACCTTGCCAGACGCTCGATCGAGGCCATGAAATTTCTTACGATAATAATGACTGCTCGGCCATCGAGGATGGGAAACAACAGCATGATCTGGAGATCGGTCCATCCAACAAGACTGTCCAAAATAATCCAAGGGCCGCACCCAGTCTGCCCGACGAGCTCATCCAAGCCATCCTCTTCGCCATCACGTGCTCATTCCCAGTCCGACTGGCGACGATCACTCTGGCAAACTGCTCATTGATCTCTCGACGATGGTACCGTCTTGCCAGCCCGATGCTATACACCAGTCCGATGATCAACATGGGATCCAGGTTACGCGCGCTTACCTTCCTGGATCGACTGGTAGACGAACTACTGGAGTACGAGCTCGAGCTGATGGACTCTGTCAAACGAAAACGCCGGTCGAGCTCACTGATCGACCAGATGAGAAGGCTGATGTTCTTTGGCGAGGGACGATGGCGGCACCGGGCCTCATTCGATAGCCGGCCCGATGTCGTCGACCGCTCTACCCTGCACGAGATCCTCAATCGGCTCTGGTGTACCCGGATCGAAGCCCTAGTCTTTGTCGAGCTGCCGTTCACCAATCCACTCCATCGACCGCTAGTCAACCGTTACCCAGCCAGTCTATCGACACTCATCCTACTCACCCCACTCTCACACTTCGAGTTACTCTTCATCCTGAGGGATCTGCCCAGTCTGCGCCATCTCTGCATCGGATCCCACGACGATACTTCCACCGTTCCCGCCGAACACCATACGCTCTTCAGTCGGGAACAGCTGCCCTCCTCTAACCTCCTCTCCTTTGGGATCTCCGCTCGGACACTGGAAGCCTGGCTGAGGACGGGAATGCCCTGGTACCAGAGCATCCTCAACCTGCTCGTCGTCCCTTCAGTCCGCTCGATCACCACCTTACATCTCGAGCTAGCCGACGAGGATGACGAGCGCCATCTCCTAGCGATCCTCGGTCGGCCGCCATCGACTATAAGCTCCTCCCGCGTGGAGCCCCTCTCGAGCGCCTCATCGGGCGATAGGCCGGTACCCGAGCAACTCTTCAAGCTCGAGACCGTCTTCCTCCGCGGCCTCTCCTCAGTTCTGATGGCCGAGAGTCTCTCGCGTCTGCAGGGCATCCGGAAGCTATGTCTCAGTTCGATCTATGGCACCGCCCTACGCTGTCCAAGTCCTCTGAGCGCGGAACATACCGACCGTTCCTCGCCCCCGCTCGGTCCTCTTCACTCACTCGGTGGGGTTGAGAGTCAAATGGAGGGACTAACGATCCCTGAGGGACGGCCGAGCCGTCGGAGTTTATCATCCAAGAACCTAGTCTGGCAAGCCATCCCGAGCAGTTTGGAAGAGCTCTCGATCGATATCACTCGGTTGACTGATCATGGACCATGGAATCGACGCTCGGCTGACCAGCTCACTCGGACTCTCGCCTCTCTCATCTCCTCCCAACAATGTCCTCATCTTAGATCCCTGGGCTCGATCCTCGCCGATCCCGCCTTCGAGTTCGGTATCTTCGGCCCCCATCGCTCTTCTCCTCCTCTCTCTGATCTCTTGTCTGCTGCTAAAAATCATCACGTCCTCCTCGTTCAATCTTTTTGGTGTGGTCAGTCTTGTTTAATCTCTCTTTCTCTCTCCCTTAATACCAGTCAATCTTTAACCACATGTGCATGTTTCTAATCATTTCTCTTTTTCCCATTAGATTCGTTCGTTGTTAATCCTTCGGGTACAGATTGGTACCAATGAAATAGCAAGACTATTTTCACCTCTCTTCGTTTCTCTCCTGTTCGTGTATGTGCGTGTTTTCATTCGCGATTCTGTGTGCTTGGTATTTGTGATTTCTTTCTTCCATACTTTTCTTTTCCCTTTTTATTGGTCTTTGTGTGTTTCTAATCATCTTGGATCCCTTGCTCGTTTGAGATGCAATTCTTAAGGATTCCTTCAATATATCTATCAATAGACATCTGTACTTTCAATCAAGCACTGTTTTTTTCTGTTCTCTTTTCTCTCTCCTATTTTGTAAACATGCTATACAATAATTTCATAGAAACCTCAAATTCATTAATTTTGAAAAAAGAGCCATGTTGTATACATACACCTATCATTTTTTTTTTCTTTCTTCCCCATTTGTGGGTTGTGTTTTTGTCAACACTCTGCCCGTATCTCTAGGTCTCTTTGTAGTCTCCTCTTCCTAATAAATTTTTGGCTCTTGGGTTTACAACCAACAAGCGATATCTTGCTTGATCGGTTAACTTGATTTGTGACTATTTTTTATGGTTGTTCATCTTGAAGACAGTCAAGCTGCTGAAAGATGAAAGGAATGAGCAACTCTTGTCAATGATGAAATTGCTATGAGTACCCTTGACTTTGAGTAGTCGAGTGGTTGATGGCTGATGAGAGCAAGTGGTGCATAAGTTTACATATGTCCAGCTGGCACCACTGGAAATGTATAAACACTGCCTCCACCAGCTCATCCAGCCCATCCACCAACGACTTACCAAGCCAAGCATCTCCTCCTTCATCAACACACCCACCAAGCATCCCATCAGGACCACCTCCACAAGCATGGCCCCATCCGCCTCCGCTCAACTACAGCCTATCGTCGTCTTTGGACCATCCGGAAGTGGGAAATCTACTCTGATCAAAAGACTGCAAGCTAGTCAGGACTGGCCTCAGTTTGGCTTCTCCGTCTCCCGTTCGTCTTCCTCTCCTACTTCCATCTAGACCCCCCCCCCCCCTCCCTGCTTGACCCAAAGAAATCATACCCCCATTAATCTTGCTCTTCCATGATCGATTAGATACCACACGTAAACCGAGAGAGGGTGAAGCGGATGGAGTGGCTTACCATTTCGTCAGTCGGGAGAGCTTCCAAGAAATGGTCACCAAAGGCGAATTTATCGAACATGCTGAATTCGGTGGAAATTGGTACGTCGATCTTACCGCAACCTTCTTCTTTTTTTTAGCCTCACTCTTAATTAACTTCCTCGGGGTTTTTTTTTGTGTGTGTGTTTGGCTCAATCGATCCTCTGTCGATCGATGCCAATAGTTACGGAACTTCCTTGAAGGCGGTTTCTGAGGTATCCGAACATCAGAAGAAGAGATGCATCTTAGATATTGATGCCCAAGTTGAGCCATCCATTTTTTTTTCTTCTTTTGCAATTTGATCATCATACCAATAAGAAAAAAGTAAGAACTGGGGAATTGAATGAGATTGTGTGTTTATGTGTGGAAACAAAAACAAAAAAAACGAAAGGGAGTGAAATTGATTCTCAAGAACCATCCGAGCCTCAGCCCACTCATCATCTTTGTCTGTCCGCCATCGATCGAGGAGCTTCGATCCAGATTGGAAGCCCGAGGAACGGAGTCGGAGGAGAGCCTGAAGTCGAGGCTAGGCATGGCCCAAAGTGAGATCGACTATGCCAAGGCACGCATCACATCTCTTCTCACCCTCCTTTTCTCGTCATGAAATTGGCTTCCTCAATACTCATCTTAATCTCCCTGTCTCTTTTTTTTCTTGTTTAGTCTGGCCCTTCTGATCTTATCATCGTTAATAAAAACTTGGACGAGGCGTATCGCAAGTTTCATTTGGCTTGTACGGTCAATAAAAACGAAAACCCCAGCCAGTTTCCTCAGTCCGATCCGATCCCATTCTGATCTCATTCATCATCATCATCATCATCATCATCATCATCATCATAGACTTCCCAGTCTTTAATATTATAGACTTGTTTATACTTGCCTTGGTCATCATTCTCAATCAGATCAACCCTTCAAGCTTCTTCTCCTCTCCCTCTCCATATTACTTTCAATCCCTAGAATCTTCAGTTCTTCAAATAGAGAAAAAGTACATCAAAAAAAGCAAGACGTGTTTGAATAGTTTCAGAATCCAAATCAGTACATTCCATCAAAACACTCAAGATTGAATAATTATTTTTTTCGAGATTCTTTTTGTTTTGAGTAATTTGAGATTGGTATTTGTCTTCCAATAACACATTGTAATACACAGGCCAAAGTGATTTTCTTTGGTGATGGAGATAGATTCCAAATTAAATCTCATAAATGTAGTGACTAGGTCATCAACATGATCTCTTTTGAGGATATACATGCATCCTTGTATGCCTTGTTGAGATTTATGTAGAACATGTGAATATATATATATGGACTGGAAGGAGACAGGTTTGAAGGAATACACATTGTAAAGATTAGGGAGGATTATAGGGTGTGGCAAATTGAGATTGCTAATTGATCAAGCTACAAATCATGAATTTATTAACTTGCACCCAACTAGATATGTATGTTCTACCACTGAACCAACAATTAAAAAAGGGTAGAAGAGTTGGAGGAACTTTTCATTCTTTGAAAAAAGGTAATCGTCACTGTCAGTGTAACATCCAAAACCTACAGCCCCATGCTTGAAGCATGGGGCTGTAGGATCATACATGATGCTTCCGAGTTGAAAGGCCCAAAATTGAGTCTAAAATTCAAGGAAGCAAAAATCTCACTACTGCTTGTCCAACCAACGCTGGGCCGCTACACTAACCGTAGCGGTTAGTGTAGCGTAACGCAGCTGAATCGCTGTTAGCGATTAGCGTAGCGTAGCGGAATTCCGCCACGACACCGCTAACGCTACGCGTGTGGGCCGCAAAAAAGGGCCCACTACGCTGCGCTACAGCAGTTTTTAGCGGTTTTTGGCCGCTTTTTCCGCTAAAAGCGCTGTAGCGCAGCGTAGCGTAGCGAAAACCCGCTAAAAAACCGCTAACACTACGGTTTTTCAATGAAAAAAAGCGCCGCTACGCTACGCTTTTTGGGCCAAAAGCGTAGCGTAGCGTAGCGGCCCACCGCTGGTCCAACCAAGTTGGAGAACTGATGTCGTAGCTTGTGCACAAAAACTTCACATGTTTTCCTATAACAATCAGACAAGGAGCTTTGGATTAAGGAACCAAGTTCAAAAACAAACATGTATTGTCAATCACATATCCACTCACACTTGGGCATAATATTTTTGAAAGATTGGGAAAACTTCAGCCAAGTGACACCAGGCTTGGTTGAAGCCTGAAGGGCTTGGCAAATGAGAAAGCTAAATTGATTGATCTCAATGCTCAGATCATCAGGCCATTAATTTTATTCGGAGAACAAGATCAATAATAGGTTTTACTACTCAAACGGTTCAAAAGACATAGATGGAAACACAACCAATGCTACAGTCTAGATCATTGGTTAAAGGGAGTAAGTAAGGAAATTTGAGCATGTCAAGCAGAGGTTTCTGATCGATCGATCCGAACAAATAGGAATTTTGGTGGTGAGAATGTGGTGAAGTTGAATCCAGGTGTGTTGTCACTAGAAGGTACAACTCGACTTCGGTCAGTTGCTGCTACTGGTGATTTTTTTTTTTTTTTGGAGAAAAATGATAAATAAAAAAACAGCAAGGTGAGTTCAACGAATTTGGCAAGGATTTTCCGAGAGGTCTCAAGTGTCTTGTATGTTGGGTGTGTTGGTACTGAAGGGAGAGGGGTGCACTCGGACATGATGAGAATTGAGTTGGAATCGGACACTTACAGCATCGAACCAACGGCTTGCATTCTTTCCGCGGGCAGGGTGCGGCACAAAGAAGACTGAAAAAAAAAGCAAAGATGTTAATTTACGAGCCATGTGGGTATCCATAGTTTGCAGAAGTGAAAGCCTACGTTATGGAGGTTTGTTAGAACATTGCGAATCCGAGGGGATGACAAGTACTCCATTCCTCCAGTAGCAATGGCACCATAATTTACTCCCAGGGCTTTGGCAGGGGAAAGGGGAGGAATCAGCGGGGAAAGTCTTGGAATCAGCGCCAGCCGGCTCAAAAGTAAGGAGAACCACGAGCGCGACCATGAGAAGACTGAAGTGAGATTTCATCTTTGGTTGGGTTGATTTTTGTGCGGATGTTTGAGGCTTGTAGTGGTTCAAAGTGGTTCTGGGTGCCTGACCGTATGCCGCATGGACTGATAGGTCTTCCTTTATAGGAACTCACGGCACACACTCTCCGTACCGCAATTGAGGGCTTCCACAATGCTTCCTCTTGGGTCATTCAAACAGAAGTTCATGCATGCTTCGCCAAAGCTGTAGGAGGCTGTAGGGGAATCTGGGCGTGGGCCTCATGTATGCCCCGGCTGAATTATTTATGTACCCGTATGACTATGCCACAAAAGCCCTCGAAGGAATTTGACCTGTTGGCCTTTCGTGTGCATCCCTGCATCGCGTGACTCTCGGCCGCCCTGCCTCAAAACATACTGTATACATACATACGAGCAGCTCGGATTCAACTCCGTCCTCCGCTTTCGGAACGCCGTCCGTTGGTTAATACAGCTTGGCTATGATATGTATCATCATGGATCAATGATGGCGATGCTTGTATAGGCTATAGCTGCCGTTTTGGTATTTTTCCAACGCTCCCATATGTCTCAAAACTATGCTGATCGGGGTACTTGTTGCACCCTCGATCACCCCGGCTTAACTTATGTTTAAATTCTTACAAAAAGTGGTTTGAGGTATCTTCTAGAATATGTAGTTCTCCGAATCATTGATTCTTTTCAATTGAATCTGCTTGTTATAAAAGCTATAAAGGACTATTCAATTCGATGATGGTGCTCAGTACGGCACAGCGGTTACAAAACAGATTGATCTAAGAATTGTTGTCGGAGGGAGTAGTGGGAGAGATAGGTCGGACAGGTTTATGGCCGCTGTAGCGTCCCGACCTTTGTGGACTACGGCTACCGTAGCTTCCCGAAGTTTGCCCAGGGTCTGAATTTTCTCCGTCAGCTGTTCCACATTTGGGCTGTCCCGACTGCGACGCATCGCTTGGATAGTTGAAGTTTGACCAGGCGGGTGGCAGCTTGAAACCGGGGTAGTGGGAATCGTGGCCTTTCTGCTCTGCGGATACATCGGCTTTGCCTTCGTGAAACTTCCCATCACTACTTTCGTACCCGAAAGTGCCCGTCTGAGGATTGGCGATGGGGTTAGTACCTGGACCTGAAATGCCTGCCAGATCACTTTTATGTCAAAAATTCAAGGAATTCATGAGTTCGTTATTTTTTTTTTCTTCAAACATCTCAAATCAAGGAAGACATACTGCCAAAAGAAGGAATGATAGTTGTCCAAGTCGGCTTCCATGTCGGATGGCGACGGTAAATCGGAGAAACCGCAGCAGGTACCGTAAGGCTAACAATTACGAAAGTGTTTCTTCAGAAAACCCATTCCAGCTTTCCGCCAGAAGTGAATACAAGATCCTCAAAACTTACGCATCCATGGTTCTTATCTTTGGAGTGTTCGACTTCGAAAGTAGCAAACAATTGCACTGCGACCAAGGTAGAAGACTACGCTCAGCTTCGCATTTAAATCGACAGATACTTAGGACACATACCATGTGGATAGGATAATCTGGTATTTTGAGCACATTCCGCGACTTGGACGTCGTTGAAACACCTTGCACCGCCTTCAGTTCCGATCAAAATCAAAAGAAGGGGTCAACGTCACTTCTCAAGAATATGTTTGAATAAATATGTCTCGAATCCTCACTTTGGTGCTGACTGATCCAGCTTTTGCTGGGTCTATAGTTATAAAGGTGACCCGTTGCCGGATCCCAATTCGCCGAAACCAGTTGGCCGAATAACACAAGCATCAATGAGGATGTGATCACATGCTGGAATAAACTCATGTTGTCGAAATATCAGTTTGGATGTGAATGTGATGCCTGGGCAGATGTTCCCAACAACCCATCACTGCTACCCAAGTATTTATAGACCTAAGATTGTTAAGAGAGACCGGCAGGAGCCTTCCCCAGCGTCATCACATAGAGATTGAGGCAATTTTTGGGTGCGCTCCAAAGCCATCAAGAACCAGAGAAAGCGGTCATCTTTCCATGGTCATAGGTCCCTTGCGCAGTGATTAGTGAATCTACAAATGTGAGATATATGAATTGAAAGCTGATATCCTTGGACTTGGGGCCACTTATACTCTTAGATGCACATTCACCGCCAACAATGTTAACGCGTTCAGTGCGAAAAAAGGAATGAGGCACAACATTCAGCGGGTAGTTGGCATGGTGTTGTTGCGTGCTTCAATGGACGAAGCCCTCTCCATTTATTCGTTATGTGCCGTATTAAAATCATCATGAGTGGTTCAGACTGCGAGTCCAGATAAAATTTTCTTAAGATCCAGTTTAGCCAATTGGCCCCGAAGTATCTGTGGACTGTAACAATGCCATTTTGCTCATCAGCGGGAAAATGTCCATGGCCCCAAAATTGCGACTGCATATAGCAACATTCCTCTCCCGCAGTATCTCGTCGATCACCATTCCACATGGTAGACCACTTTAGACATGACTGCCGAACATAAATAAATTAATATGAGAAAGGCCCTTATGTACAGAAGGGTCTACTGACGAGATGTTATAACATGCGCTTCAAAATCCGCTGAACTGTTAATACCCACAACTTTCTCCAGCGCGTTACTCAAAGTTTCACTTAGACGCGAATCAGCCAATGGCATGATGCCGACCGTACAGGGTGATCAGATTGGGTTGGAGGAGGTATGGAAGCCCAAATAGGCTCATCAGGTTGAAAGCAAACGCGACCACATTGCAGATCAGTAGGGAAAGAAGTCCCTCGAACTCAGCTCAAATTCTGGGTTGTGAATGTGCGTGGATTGGGAAGCTGTGAGGACTGTTTGGTCAAGTATTTTTTCTGCTCAATATCCCTATCCAGGCTTACCAAGGCATCCAGAAGGCTGGCTACTCAAGGGTTGTGCTAAGCTGCTTCTTGAACAGCATTTCACATAAAATGATAAATTTTGTAGAGATTTTGGGAAAAATCCCAAACATGGAGATATCTATAAAATGTCATCACCTTGAAATTTGGATATTTTAGACCTGTGAGTTCTATGTGGAGATCAGTTTAAAAATCAATGGGAATATTCAAAGTTGAACATAAATACATAAACATAACTTCATAAAATGACTTTTGGCTGAGACCCCCTTTACCTTACATCATCCCAGCCAAAATCCTTTATAATTTTTCTTATGCATTTATGCAGTCAGCTTTGCACATCACTTTGAACATCCTATCCACCTCAGAAAATTGCTAATCTGTGACATCAAACAAAATTAGAAGGATGTTTCACATTGCTTAGGCCTGTTTGGCTGCCCCGTTATTTGTCATTTGTTATAGGGGGTTTTCCCTGGGGGGGGGGGCAATCGGACATGCCAAATTTAGTGCAAAGATCAGGTTTTGGGGACCCAATTTGTATCACAGGTGTCACCCCAATCACAAATAATGGGGCAGCCAAACGGGGCTATATACTTGTTTGCACATTGAAAAAAAAAATGGTTTATCCAGGCGCTCCCACACCACAGGTGCAGTTTTTGTGATGGCAGTCTGTCAGCTTGACCCATAGCCTTTTTTGTGCAATCCTGCCATATCAATCTGGGCAACATCAAGTTTTGGCAGGAGACCAACAATTCCCACATTGGCCTGCCCTCAGGATTGAAAAGTCCCACTGTTGGCTTGACCCCACGTCTCAAAATGTCGCAGAAAAGAAATTCTGCGTCCCTTTCATGCCTGAAAGTTGGGGCCAAGACTTCTTGAGGGTAGAATGATGAGTATGAGTTTGTTCAATTTTGACACAATCATGCCTGCTCTTGAGTTTTCCTCTTCTCTGGTCTACTCTTCCCCAAAATCACTCCCTCCTTTCCATTTATTTCCCTCTTTTTTCCCTTCATGAATCTTCTTGAACTGGACTGAATTAAAGCATATCATAGCTGGGTTTCTGTTGAAACTTATGCATTTGTGTAGTCTAATTAGAACTCCCTATAGCAATTTAATCAAAAACTCTTGTCTTCATGATTGACTTCTTTCTTTTTCTATGTTCATTATCTGATTCTTAAAAACTAATTATTTAGAATTCACGCCTCTGAATATTTGTGATAGAATTCTTGTTTTTTCTTGATTAACTCTTCTTGCCTGACTAAAAGAGACTGAGAAGTCCTGCCAAGATTGTTTCTTCCAAGAACTCAATTTATTCTTTCTCTTAGTTTTTATTCAATATCCTATTTTTATTCATTCTCAACCAACCACATTTTCACACACTTGTTTTTAGTCTATTTAAACCTAGCTAGATACTTGTGAATAAAAATCATCAGTTCTTACACTCAATTTCCGTGCACCCCTGTAGATACCATATCGGCTACTACATAGCCCTGGGAATCTATGTGTCAAGACTTTGTAGTAGCCGATTCCGTGCCTCTCTTTCCCTCTCGTTTTCTCTCTTTTCATCTCCCACTTTCCCTCGCTAAATCGCTCCAAGTCTCTGTTTGAATGCTGTGCAGCTTGTCGCAGCCCGCAGCAACCACACGTGGCGTGCCAATGGTCTGTACCTATGACTCACAAGTCTTTTCTTACCCTTACATGTCTGCCTTCCTCAGTCCACGTTACAATTGTTACAATTCCCCAGACCGTACCAGCCTCTTACAATTTCCCCTCCAGACCTCCATCCCCCAGTCCGATAAACCTTTCTCCTCTAGTTATCTTTCTCTCTCAGACTGTTATATTTACCTTACTACAAAGATGAGCTCACGCCATGACGGCTCACCCACTGGATATCTCCCCAATATGGGCCAGTCTACTGCACCAATCATCCCTTCAGGAGGCCCTCCTCCACTGTTTCACCCAAGCAGTGTGGGGTCCATGAGTCCATCTTCTCCTCCACCTCATAAAACCCTCATCTTGCATCGTGGTCTACTCCCAGGGGAGCTTTACTCCGACTATGGTTACTCCAACCAGGATGTTGATTTTGCCGCACACGGTGTACCTCCATCTATACCACATTTTGTTTATTACAACCTTCCTCCACCTTCCGAACCTCATCCTCCAGCCTTGACCACAAACAACCAGTTGCCGGCTTTCAATCCCACTCCTGCTGAAAGTGCTCCGTCTAACACTACTGGTGCCCATCTTACCAACTCCGAAGTCCGCAACTCTACTACTTCCGAAATTTCTCCCAGCTTGCCACCCCCATTAAGCATTTTTGAAAACACTCCATCTCAGACATACTCTCGACCTGTTTTGAGTTCTGCTCCATCCCATTGCACCCCATCTCAAACTTCCCGTTCATGTCGTCCCCTCCCCAAAAGTAAAGCACCACGTAAAGCCAACATTACCCGGAAAAAAAAAACGGCTTTGACTCAAACTGCAATCAATCCGCAGCCAAGTAACCCCATACCAGATCCCCCCCCTCCTGCCGGACCTCTTGCAGACCTTCATGATCGCCAAAGCAAAAAGCGCAAATGCTTGACTACGACCGACTCCAACCAACCTGAGGCGCAATCGGAGGAAGCGTTACTGAAGCTCAGCGAGGCACAGTTGGCGATCCAGGCCCGAAAAACCTCCAAGCGAGCGATGTCCGATGATGACCGCGACTTCTTCGCCGAGTACCAACACTACTTGCGCAAACTCCTGATCATTCGGGCAATTGAGCGTGGGGTTTCAATGCCCATGGTAGATGGCTTTTTGTACGTACATCACACTCTCATCTCAAATCAAATGACACTCGCTTACCTTGTCATACTTAATTCAGAGGAAAGCGAATGGTAATCAAGCAACCGACACCTTGGAATAACTTCCAGAAGACCAAAGAGGCCCGTGATATTTTTCGAGGACGTAAGTTATTCTCCTCATCAATATCAATCTCCCTCAAGGCTGAAATCTGATTGCTGAGCTTCCCAGAACCAGATGGTGTAGCCAAGAAGAATGGAATGTTGGAGGTTTCGTCAAAATGGCACGGGCTGTCGGACGAGGAGAAGCTCGAGTTTGCAAAGTGTGTTCGATCGGTTGGCTCCAATGCAAGACCGGCCAACACCGAGGGGACAGGAAACAATCCAGACGAGGTTGATGACGCGGATGAGATTGACGCCGCTGGTGAGGTATCTATGCGACAGACCGTTTCTCTTAAGCGTGCTGCCGATCAAGTCCAGAATTTCATGGACGATTGGGTTGCTCGGGTAAGTTGGGACCTGTTTTGTCTCATCCTGCATTTCACTAACATCTCACCTTTGCAATGTACAGGCTGTCCATATTGCCAAAACTACAAACTGTGAGATGGTGATGTTTGCTGTTTCCAGACATCTTGGAAGCCATGCCTTTCAGCTGGCCAAATGGACTCATGGGGCTACTCGGTTCGTCACTGGTGCCAAGGCTCTGGATGGCCTGAAACACTACCCTGCTCGAATGCAAGCTTACCTCACTGGATACGAGGTTGCCCAGGTAGCTAAGATTAACAGCAAGAAAGGCTGTAAGTCAACTCTCATATAATGTTGTATTTCTTGTTGAACACGGTGTTTACACTTTTTTATTTCCAGGTGCGGTTAAAAAACATCCTGTCTCAATCAGCAAGCGCATGGCGGCCCTGATCGGTTGGTATTGATTTCTGATTCTATAACCTACAATAGTGATCGATCGCTAATGCACTCTCCCTTGTAGAGGAAAAGACACAGGGGACAATGGTCAAATGGCCATGGACGAAGACTGAGAAGAAACTTGCACGGATGAAGTTCCGACTGGAACTGCTCCCTGGTGCGAGGAGCAAACGGGAATGGCTCATGGAGCCCAGTCGTGGTCTTACTTCGGCCCCGGAGGCCACACTACACAACGACTTAGATAAGAAGTTAATTGAGTTGGTCTATGACCCAACCATACCCGATGATCCCAGCTCTAAGCCTACTGCTCGTGGTCGCCGCAGACAACCTCCGAGCGGGTCTCGAAAAGGTCGTCGCAGTGGACCTTTGAGTGGTTCTTCCACTATTGGCAGCCCAAAATCTCAACAAACTATGTCGGATGTATCCAACAGCCCAGCATCTCAACGAACAATGTCGGAAGAATCCGACATAGACCATGAAAGCGATGTCAGCCATCGAAGCTTGGATGAGAGTGACGAGGAAGATGATGACGACAACGAATGAACAAATTGTCAATTGCTTCTATCTTGAGAGTATATTGCTCTTCATCTCTTCCTTCTAGTAATGGTGTCTATCTATATTGCTTCCTTCTGTCTCAAACGCTTGCACCGAGTTGGCCTGTTGTCTGTTGCCACTCTTTCCCTTGGTCCTGTTGTATGTTGCTTCTGTCTCAAACACTTGCACCAAGTTCGACTTTTGTCTATCACCTCTATCGCTTCTATATCTTTATAATCGTCTTAGTCTCTCAATCCTCTTGTTTCTTTCTATTCATCTCCTCAGTTGATGATGAACCACCACTGTCGTTACTGCTTCCTCCTCTGTTGAGAATTGAACTAATCCTGTCATTGCTTGTTTGCCGATTGATTGATCAAGTTGTTCTACTGCGCACATTTCCATATGATACATCTTATGGAGACCGATCAGTGCCCAAGAAATGAGATGACTTGTTACTGTCCTTACAATTCATGATTTCTGTTCCGTTAACACATTCATTTGCGGTCACAGACAACGACAATTAATCCAAGTGGAAGAGCAGAAGGTTTTGGGCATGGTCAACTCTATGTTGCACTATCTTGGGTCACAAGCCTCAACAGCTTCACAGCTGCCACTGAGACACACACTGACAGATTGGATAGCGTATTGCAACAGTACAATCATCACTTATCGATGAAAAAGAAAATCTACAACATGCGATCTACTGTTACAATACAAGACCAATCTTTCCCACTACTCAACATCCAACACCTCAGGTTCCCTAGTGATCATTATTGGCCTGGAGTTCATTCATCTTTTTCAAGATACTTGCTCCTCCTTTTTACCTGTGGGAGGTGAAGGTAGGCACTGTTGCTTTCAATTCAATATGAGTACGTACTGTGCTCAATTTGAATGTGAAGAAAACAACTGGCCAACCTCCCACAGTTAAAAAACAGAAGCAAGATCTCATCCAAAGAGAAGAACGAGGCCAATGAACGATCGATGGAGTTTGAGGTGTTGAATTGAATGAGCTGACTTGGAGATTAATCAAGCTGATTGGAATAAATGGATGAATCAGGGCTGATGTGATTGATGGGGAGTGGAGTGTAAGAGGGTAGGAGTGATGAGGAAGTGAATCGATGAGGAGTTAAGTATAAGAGGGCAGAAGCGAAGGGTGATTTGAAGAAGGATCGATCAATTGGTTGAACTCCCTGTGTTGAAAAAAATTTTTCAGCTAGGCCCCCTGGCAAGCTTGCCAGGGGGCCTACCTGAAAAGATGCTGCTGAACATGTGGGTTGGAAAAACCTCTGAGTGAGCCAGTCCAAAGTTTAGACCCAAGCTGTGCACTCATCTTCTCCATCCAACATTCTCATAGTTTCTTGGTCCCAATTAACTTGAAACTGCAAATTATATTCCATGAAAGTGATTCATTAGCCCATAACATAATCAAACAAAAAAAGTCTGGTCATGGCCTATATAGAGTCTTTCATTTAAGAAATCCAAATGATTAAATAGTGTTGTGTCTTGTCCACATAAACTGTGCAATCATGTCTTAATCATTTGGAATGAATTATTTGACTGGACACATGTATATTATATATATGCCAAAATAATCAGCATTGTGTTTGTACCTTGAACACTTGATTCATGAATCATAGCAATTTGAAGTGTGCTGTTAGTCAATAGCTATATTTTTATGACAATTTAAAACAAGCTTTGAAACACTACCAAACACTATCCCATTTCCTGGTCAACATACACACACTTCACCTTTTTTTGGTATGAAAGTGATTCATTGGCCTATAACATAATCAAATGAATAAGTCAGGTGTTTATTTGTGTCTTGAACTTATGAATCATATATCAACACTGAATCATTTGGTGTGAGTTGACTTGCTTTGATATTGTACATGGCCAATTTTGATATTTCACAAGACCTATATAGAGTCTTTCATTTAAGAAATCACAGCCTATCCAAATGATTGCATAGTATTTGTGTCTTGACCAAATGATTTCAAGATAATCTCTTAATCATTTAGAATGAATTAGTTGACTGGCTATGATATTACACATGACACATATACATGACATACATTCCAAAATAATCAGCATTGTGTTTGTGTCTTGAGACTTGATTCATGAATCATAGCAATTTGGAGTGTCCTGACTTGCTATGATACATTGCACATGGCATATATACACATGGACAGATTCTTTCATTCATTTTAATATACAAATAAATTTACATTAAATCCAAGCATAAAATCAATGATGAATGTGTGCTGGAATGAGTTGGAATGAAAAATGTATTACTTGATGTTGCCATACACTTGAAAGTGTGCATATTCTTCAATGCTTGGGAATGGCCCAATCATAAAAATGAATAACCACTTGGAATTATATAAGAATTTTGGAATTGATTGGGAATAAATCAATGCAGAAAAATCAAAGAAATCAAATGATATGTTACTATCTTCAAACAAATATAAATGAATTTTGCTTGAATTTGGTTTAATTGAAAAACACAACTACCAGTCATGTGTGACTTGAATTGCTTGAATGATGTTGGATATGGAATTGCTTGAATTTGAATCATTTCCAAAGATCACACTAAAAAAAAATTAACAATTTGTGATTGAAATTGAATCATTTCCCATCCCAAAAATATAACAATCAATCATGAAAATATGTAAATTAATAGTAATATTATGTAACTACTTGGTCTGGGTTATAAATTACTGGATGTTTGAATTTCAATCCTTTCTGAACAAGATGATTCATGAAAAAACAATCTCATACTTCAACCCCTGTGTCTTGCTCAAGATCAGCCCTCATGGTTTCAGATAGAATATTTTCCATGTCTGCATGGTAAGCCTCCTCCTCATCAATTTCATCTCCTTCAGCTTCATCCATGACAGGCAGTGGCTGGTGGATGTTGGGTAACTCTTCAGCAACATTTGGTGGATTGGGTTGGTTGAAATGCAGTGGCTGTTCTTGGTTGAGTAGGCTGTCAGCATGGTTGGGTTGGTCGGGCAAGTTGGCAGAAAGATCGGGTTGGTTCAAGACAGGCCGTGACTCGCGGGGGTTGGGTAGGTCTCCAGTGAGAGTGACGATTAGTGCCTCCGAGAAGTCGCCTGGTATCCCTGAGATCAACCCATACGCAATGGCTTGCTTGATTCGATCGATTTGAGAATTCCAGTCTCTCAATAGCGGTTCATCTTCAAGTTGGGAAGTTGTTTTGACAAAGACTTTGGGCAGTTTGATGTGCCATTCAAGTTGCAAAGAGAGAATCTGAATCAGACTAGAATGGACAATCACACAAGCAGCATTTAGCCTATTGGCCATCACCATTGTATTTGTCAAGTGGGAATGGCCAACAAGTCGCTCCAATTCCTCAGGGATGCTGCTGCCGTTATCAGGAACCCTGACTAATAGTCTCATCAGTTTCGCCAGTTTTTTATGTCGTTCGGTCGCCCATCTCATGGTCCTTCTGACCTCCCAACCAAGCCGTCTAACTTCCTCAAGTCCACGTTGAAGGCAAGCAAGTCGACGTATACCTCGCTGAGTCAATGGATCAACAGCCCATGGCTCGCTAGCATTTGTAAAGAGCCCATCATTCCAAAACATATCGTCTGGCTGTAATTCAAGTAGATCGGGATACGAAATAATGGGAGGTGCTGGTCGGTCGGGGTTACTTGCAATAAACTCGTGTGTCAGTCGGTTGTAGTTGTCCAGATTTTCTCGAAGGGAACCAGCTCGCTTTCGGAGGGCTTCAATAAGCTTCTGTTGCCCGCGGGTACCTAATCATATTGGATGATTAACCCACTGAATATGCAGCAATTTCTGAGGAAGAGACTTACCAAGAGTTGAAGATTCTCCAGGACGGCATACTCTGAGCAGGGGTTCCTTCTCTTCAATGAGTGCCAAGAAACTCTTGCGTAACTCGGTTTTGGTATACCAAACCATTGCAAGCTTATCCTGCTGTATTTCTGAAAGGTTTACAGGTTAAAAGAAAAAGATTAACATCATCAGTTTTAAATTTAAGATGCTTACGTGTCAAGTTATCTGCCAGGCCAGTTGTCCCTACGATATTTCGTTGTGCCTGAAGTTGCCTTTGAACTGACACACATGTGTTTGCTTGAGTGAGTGCCTGTTCCGGGGTCATGGCATCACCCATCAATTGCCTGGAAGATATTTGAATTAGTATGTATGTTGTATTTAATTAGATTAAAATAGCACATACCAGGCTTTATTCAGCTCCTCTTCAAGACACAACAGCCGACCAAGTTCCAGTTGTTGCTTTTCTGATGTGCGGGAGGTGTGCAGATGGTAAGCTTGCTCATCACTCCACTGCTGCTCAAGGAAATGACTGTTGTAGTTTGATCCAGGGGTGTAGTTGTTGGGTCTCTGGTAAAGCTCGGCTAGTTCTTGCCTTGATGAGGAGATGACTTCGTTCGCGTGTTCCAATTTCTGTAAGAGCCAGTAGGCTAGAAGCTCAAATCCAATCAAGCTTGTTGAGATTAATTTAAAAATCATAACTAGGGAAGATCTGAAAAGCTTGATCAAGCAACTCACCTGCCTTCTCATTCAACTCCTTAGTGTAGTAATCCGCACGATGCTGGATTGAAGTGAGCCGATGTAGCCGGGTTGAGACACGGAGGGTGGATATTAGTGGTGATAGGAAAGCCCAGAGCCTCTCAAGACACTCTCCATCTGATAGACCCCACCATGGATTCAGACGTGGATTATACTTGACCTGGCAAGACCACTCATGCACATAAGCATGGAAGACAGATGTGCCAAAAATCAAGTCAGGCAGCCGGTCGCTTAAAAGTCCTCGCTATAAAGGTGTTTCACAGGAACAAAGAGAAAAACTGAGTGAATTGAAACAGGCACATGATAAGCAAGGTACTTACACGTCTCACATGTCTTTCAAGGTGACAGCCAATGTCATAAAGTATTCCTACCTTGTGTTGAGGGAAGTCAGCCAATAGATTCCTTACAAGCGCTATAGGGTAGTATAATCTGTGATGGCAGTCAGTCAATTAAGAATGGTTTATTTTATCTTGTAATGATGGTGCTTACTTTTCTCCAGTCTTGTAGATGTTGGCAAACATCAGAGGAATGTCATGGCGACAAGCACTTGCGAACAGTCCATTGTCATCACACTTCTCCCAAGTTGTTTCCCCCCGAGCATCATTTGCAGCCTTGTGGACGTCGGCACATGGAGGCTGGCCAAAAGGGGGATAAATGATCAATCATCAGGGTCCATATTGGTGAATTAACTGAGACAATAGTGAAAAACATACATCGATACCAACTGCTGAAGCATCTGTGGCTGTGAGTGTATCAGCAACATTAGTGATTTTTGATGGCTTGACAAAGCTACGAGGATAATGGGATTCCGGTGGGTTATCTTTGCTAGCATAAGCATAGTGGCGCTGCTGGAAGTTGACATCGAGTGCAATTATTATGTCAGGTTCTTTGGGGTGGGATTTGACTTCGTGTTGGTTTGGGCCAAAACAGCGTGGGCACTGGTTAGCCCATTGGTCGTTCTGACTGAGTTGTAATCCTTCAATTAAGATTTTCTGTTGGATGAGTCGAATGCGAGAAAACATGTCAATACTGTGTGAAAGTGGTACCCTCAAGTTCCTTTTCCTATAGTTTCCCCCTTGGGCATACAACGGAGTGTCGCTGCGCATTTCCAAAAAAGCCGACAGTGCTTGGACAAACGAGGAGGTGGAAACAACAGCAGTCTGCCAAAGGAGCTCATGGAATTGAAGAAGACGGATGGAGAACGCAGTCCGTGGAACATCAGGGGAGCTAGCTATGTAACCATAGTGAACAAGGCGGACTACATCGGGTGTACACAGGCAAAACGGCACCTTGATAGCTGAGTGGCGATCTGTGTGGTAGTTAATTGGCTCTGGTTAGCAATTGTTGGTCGGTCCACCAGGCAAAAAAAGAGGAAAAATGGCTTACAGATGATATCAAACAGATCCATGCTTCGCTCTTGAACATTGATGGGATCACAGGTACATGTATTTGGGGGGAGGGTGTAGGTACCTGGTAGCGAGGTCCAGTTCTTGGTTGCTTTTTGACAGATTAAGAATGCGGCAGCAACTTGTTCTTCCAATTCGGACCATCGCTGGCTCATTCGTTCTCGACCTTCGGCGTATCGGCGAGCACGGTGGTAAGCAGCATGTGCCGCGCAGGGAAGTTGCTCCACGTCATTCTCAAAGTCTTCACCAACGTAACTACCAATAAGCGGTTCAAACTGTGATCGTTCTTGTTCGTCGTCTTCATGTGGTGGTCCCGCAAATTGTTGAGCATAGCTAGCATCGACGATTCCTAGTTGTTGTGCGATGGAGACTTCTTCGAGGAATGCACGGTGCTCTTCGAGTTCTCGAGCCTGATTTCTGATTTGGGCTGCTTGGGTACGACTGCGCCTGGAAGTGCCGGTGATGAGGAAATCAGCCGTGGTGTTATGTCGGTTGCGCCCGTGTGCGTTCCGTGCCATGTCTGTCAAGAGTGTCGGTGTCGGCGGGATGAGTCTTGCAAGGCCATGCCGGACTTAGAGGCAGATGAGGCAAGCATACATCGGGAGTAAAGTTGGGCAGCGGGGGGAGCTCCCCGGCCATTATGTAAGCTGCTGCGAGCTGCACAGCATTCAAGTGGCTCGAGCTGACTAATGGAGGGATGATCGAGGGAAAGTAGGAGATGAAACGAGAAAAAACGAGAGGGAAAGAGAGGCGCGGAATCGACTACTACATTGTCTTGACACATTGATTCCCAGGGCTATGTGGTAGTCGATATGGTATCTACAGGGGTGTTTCCGTGAGCCTTCCCTTTTTTGGCCCTCAACCTCTCACGTGCTTTAGCTTTAAAATTTCAACACCTGCAAGCCCAGGTGACAGCCAGTGTTTCCTCAAAGATTGGATAATGGTCTTGACAATTTGGCAGATCCTGACGGAAGAGATTATCATTTTTACTATGAGACCAACAGTTCGTTGCCCAATAAGGTGGTAGCTGTCAGGAGTCTTGATCATCAATTGGCTTTTAGTGCCAACCTAACATATCAATCATCTCAACCAGCCTCCATTCAACCAACCTACCTGTGTTCATTCAACTATGCTCTCAATTCACCCAAAACAAAAGTACAAGTATGCACATCCTAATATTTGAACATCTCTGCAAAACGGGGAAGTCATATCCGTTCGAAAAAAAAAACTGAGAGGCAAGTATTGAAAACAGTGCTGTTAATAATGCCAAAATGTCTTCTGGGAAATTGAGACCCTTTGTTCGACACAAGAGACCAATGCTTCGTCGCCACATCTTCCACAGTTCAGATCTAGTATACTGATTGATTCAGATGTACAATGTGTCGTAAGTTGACTAAGCCTGTAGATTTTCTCGCTCGGGAGGATCGGAGTTTGATTGATTCTCGACGAGTTGCCTTTGCAGTTCGATGAATTTTTCAATCTCTATGAGGACAGAGCGTAGGTTTGAAAGTCGAACGATAGATTCCAACGTTTTAGAGAATCCGATCTGAGCGCTTCGCAGAGGAGGGGGTGGAAGGGCAGCGAATTGATGGATTGGATTGGGCAACTCTTTGGGTCGATCCTTGTCTTGATCCTCTTTCTCCGGGAGGCTGTTCGCCTGGACGGCCGCGTGTTCCTCAGTTGGTAAGCCTGGCTCGGGAGAGACGGGTTCTTGCTTGTTTTTACGCTTTCGAAGACCGTTCTCTGATGAACATCCGGATGGATCATTTGTCAACTCGACCGATGGACAGGTTTCAAAACGGTTCAAAGTAAGCATAAATGGCCCTTTCGATTGGTCGAGTTCTTCATCTGGGTCGATCGGATCTTGGTTCTGGATCACTCTTTCCTTTCCATCATTTCAACCGTTTTTTTATTATCAAAAAAGGATCGATTCACACTGAGCAAGACTTGGATCTTTTTCCCATGAAGCATTTCAACTCAGCACTAACATGGTCTTGGTCGGTAAGCGTGAGCTCAGATCATAACTGTTTGGGCCAATTCGAGAAGGTCCTAATACGACTTTTGCCTTGGAAAGATTTAAGAATGCCTGTGGAGTCAAGGGAGAGCCCAATAAGGAGTCAGTTTTTTGTTTCTACCACCAAAAAAAAAATCAGCCACAACATCCATGTGGTTAGAATCATACCGCTTGAATGTGCGACTGTAAACCATCATGGCAGGCGTTGTAGTCGTCGAGCAGATTGAGATAAGTGAGTAAATATTTATCTAGTACTTCAACCTTGTTGGCTGAGTTTGCGGCCCATTTCTTGGATAGACTTCCGGTTAACTGAAACTCTGTTGACCTGGCCATCCTTCCCTCGGAGATTAGTTTTGGAACTTGGCTGATGAGGATGGAAAACTCTGTTGTGGTGCGACAGTGCGACCGTGAGCATCTACTGCCTTTCACAGATCTCTTTCTGTGATTTCTCGAAGGGGGGGGGGGCTTATATGGCCGTGACCCTTGATGCGCAGCCGCAGCTGGAATGCGGAGATCGCTCCTTCAGACTTCACGTCGCCTTCGGGCATTGAGCCATCACATGTGTGCAATTTTCCTCAACAGCCATGCGTCAAGTGTTGTCCCGTCTGATAGGCATTCAGCTCCGAGCCAATCTCGATCGAACAGGTTCAACGATTAGGGATCATCGGCTCTACTACTCGGCTCTTGCGTCATCTGTCTCTCCACCCAGGTCGTCTGCGCCCATCACCAACATCGAATTCGACGAGGAAATCGAAAGGGAACTCGCTAGATTACCAGCCAAACGAGCACAGGAAGCTAGACGTAGACTTCGCAATGAACGAAGAGCAGAAATTAACGGGGTCAGTAACACACTTATGCGTTTTTTTCTTCTCTTCGCTCTCTCCCTCGGTCAAAAAAGGATCGTTCTGATTCAAATTGGGTTTGATCTTTCTCGCCCAAAGTACAGCAATCGATGGGAAGGAAGGATTCAGTAATAAGTCAGCATTCCTAATGTAACACTTGAGCAAAAACCTGATGAAAGAAGTTTTGATTTCGATTGATTTCACTAAAGGCGTGCTTTCCATACCTCTCAGTTCCGTATATACCACCTTATGAAGGACCAGATCCGAACTCGTCTCGTGGATTATGGACGCATTTAAAAGTTGGATGGCAAAAAAATCGGCTCAAAGAGGCCTGGGGTCAATGGCTTGGTCAAAGGCAATCGTCTGTAAAAATTTCTGTCATAAACCTTTAGTTTCTCCCACATGATTTTGATCATCAATCTTGGTTTGATCTATTCTTCAGGAAACAGAATGTCGACTCGGTTCTTTCTCCGGGAAATCCATCCTGGATGAAAGACTTTGCCGATGAGGCTTACGGAACTATCATCCTGGCACATCAAACTGTCACCTCGTTCGTGTTCTAGAACTAACCTTTGAGGTCGTTCACCTCTTAACCAGATGTTTTTTTTTTTTGTTTGATGGTGAATACAGTGGCTCGTTTGAAGACCCACAAGTGAAGAAGTTCTTACACCCATCGATGGTAGAGTTCTTACAGGAGAAACGAGAGAGGCTGTTGCGATCTTACAGTCCGAGCCATCTGATCACATGGACGAAACATTCACCAGCCCCCGAAGCTGGCAAGAAAGGAAAACAAGCGCAGCCGGAGAAGGAGCTTGAAATTGTTGCGATGCGGGCGGCCCCGTTCGATCAAGGTGGTACTGTGGTTCAGATTGCCGTCCGGTTCAAAAGTCTCCAGAGTCTCGAAATCCGCGATGAGCGTGGACTGTTGGTCTTCGGATCTCATTCCAAACCACAGCCAATCATGGAAGTGAGTTTGGAACCAATCCTCATTGCCCTTTCTTTCAATGGTTTGCTGAGTTTATTGCTTCTCTATCTTTCTCAGTATTTTGTATTTCAGAAACGCATGGGCCAGACCGATCAATCGTTTCGGTTACTCCAACAGGTCGACGAAGATACCAAACCGGATTGTTTACCTGTTTAAAATATTGATCTTCTTCCAAACTTCAACCAACAATCCTATACCCAACTATGTTCATAAGGGTATTATTCTCCTCAAACAACAACACTTGAAACCTTTGCACTCATATTTTTAAAAAAATACTAAGATAGTTCGTTTATCTACACCCACATGACATGTACATTTGTGACACCTTGACACTCTAGCCAACTTGACTAGCGGTGGGGCAAACCAACCGGTATCATGGACATCCTACATGAACCTATTGATCAAAACGGGTTTTGAGTTGTTTGGTCGGCCAGCTGGCCCCGCATGATCATAATCATACTCCAAAAAGATCACTCTGTATGTTCCCAAGGCCCCCCTCCCCGCAAAGACAATGATCCATACTGGTGTATACTCCAGGCCCATGGGTCGGACCGCCCCGACGCGAAACTTAATTTGCCTCTCAGGAAAGGTGCCGTCCAGACTTTTGGAATATGGTATCCGGTACGACCTGCTCCATATTATTCTTAATCGGGGCGAGTCACTCGCCCCGGCCCATCCGGACCCTTATCAGACTCAAGCGCAATCTTCTGAAGCTGCGGCCGTCTTTGTCACTGCCACGATTGTAACATTCCATGTTTAGATAATCTTGGCCTAATAGTCCATGTACAACTCTTACTCATGATCCCTGCACCGATATCAAAACATATGTTGTGACCTTCATCTTTGGACGCATCGACGAGCTATTCTTGAACATAAACGTTTGTGACATTAGATGACCTCGGCTCCACACCCCACTATTCCTTAAGAGTTTTTCAAGCAAGCAGCCATTCCACATCTTAATATTTTAATCGAAAAAAATGTTCTCATTTTCCATCTTGGTGGCCGCTATGGTTAGATACTTCGCTAACTCTGTTTTGAAACAATTTTTGGCCTGTGGATTGCCAATCACTCATCACTATTTGAACCACTAGATTCTTCAAATAATCGTTGCATCACCATATATACCCTCGACCAATCGAATTGTAACGGTGTATGATGTGAGTCATTTACTTGAGATTTCATAACATGGCATGCAAGAAGCTGGAAAATCTGATCCGTTTTCATTGGATTGGTGGTTGATTTGTTTAGGGGGGAGATCCCTCTGCTATGTGTCCAATTTGTCGAGACCGTTTTGTCTTGGGTGAAGTCATTCGCAGATGGACACCTTGTGGGCATACCTATCATGTTCTTTGTATGAACCGTTGGTGCGCTGGTAGACAGGAAAACAACAGAAATTGCCCAACTTGTCGAGCAACCCTGAATGGAAGACTTGCAGAGATACAAAGAGCTCAGCACAGTAGCCGAAACGTAAGTCATCTGCTCAAGCTCAAGTTACCAGGCCACTAAAGACTATGGTAAGCTTATGTTTGTGGTATTATCCAGTCGAGTGGGCGCACATGTTCTGCATGCTCATCAACCATGGTACAGATTGAAAACCCACAGGGGTATCAGCTCTTGTGTCAGAGCTGCGGACGGTTTACTACCCATTCAGACTGAAAACGTTCATCAAGTTAGCTGGAATAGCCCCAAAAGGAAAAGTTTGTAACCCTTGCACTGGCAGCAGTAACTGGTAAAAAAAATCTAGTGCAACCCCTACACAGTTGCTGCTTATATTACCATTTTGGTTAGGAAAATTTCTCTCACTGCCATGTTTCCTTTTCTCCCTGTTAGTAACACCTACTGATAACTACAAAAATATATCTTGATAGTAATAAACTTGAACAAAGTTGATATTGTCCCATTTTCAAACGGCTGTTCATCAGGGAAATGGCAATACATCAACAGCCAAGAAATGTAAATATCTGTAAACACATAATTTTGTATCACTTCCTAAACAAATATAGCTGTTGTCAATGCTATACCAATCTAAATCAAAAATGTTTGGCAGAGAGAGCTGAAAGATGTTGAACCATGCTCACAAGTAATTGCATTCTTTTCAAGTTAGGCTAAGATTGTTAAGAAAAAAAATGGCAGCTTATGTATGACCATTGTTCAAGGATTAATTTTGGGTCCAGTTTTAGAATAAAGCATATACAACTGCAACAAAAGATTGCACCATTGGGGGTGTTTGAATTGACATGAAATATGCAGCTGCTAGCTGAGTTTTTTTTTTTTTTTATTTAAAAAAAAAAATAATTCTTGCCTTTGTGGTCTGGGAATTGAATGGAATCACTTGATGATTGATTTTGAAATCAGGGTGGGGCATCTGCAGTGATCCATCCATTTGTAACTAGCAAGTAGCTATTTGAGTAAATTTGAGAATAGGACAGTTCACATTTCAAACTCCAGCAAATTTTTCATTTGAAGTTAGCAGAGGAAACTAAGTTCTCACACTTAAAATTGGCCTGCTGCCCAGTGCCAGTGCCAGTTTGGACAGAGTTTAGAAATCAGCAAGCATGAGTGATAGCTTTAATTTAGTTACTACCTTAATTTTTAAAAAGATGGATCAATAAAACAGTAACCATAACTCAAATTGTTCTCATCATGAAGGAGTCAGTCAAACTTCAAAAACCATTTCAGGTTTATTTTTTGGAAAACCCAATGATTTTTTGGAGCCTTCAGATATCAACTTGGAGAGCTTATTTTTGCTGATCTAATTTAGTACTTCAGCTGGACTTGCTTTTAAAAACTGTGTTTACATAGTCCCTGCGCTGGAAGGGCTATTTTGTTTTGGGCCTTAATAAAAAAACCCGCATTTTCTGCGCTTTGACGCGCTTTTGCTGCGGCACAGCACACGCGCAATCCGTGTTTAAGCCCGCTTTTTTAATCAATTTTTTTTTGCCATTAATTTTAATTTTTTTTTTAATTTTTTAAAATTGTTTCCTACACTAAAAAACGTGTAGAATTTAATGGTAAAGTCCATTTTGCCTAAAAATAACTTTTGATTCTAATTTTTTTTTTCACTCATTTTTCAATTAATTGTTTGCATGCATGTATGTACTTTATTTTTTATGTTTTTTTGAGATTTTCAAATTATTTCCTAGGTTTTAAAACATGCAGAATTTAATGGCGCAATCCAAATTTTCTAAAACTCAACTGTTCACTTTGAATACTGAAATTAGACACTTTTTTCACTTAAATTTTTACAGCTTAATTTTCATTCTTTTTTGACTTTTTAAAATTATTTCCCACACTTCAAGACATGGATAAAATGATGGTTGCAATTATTTAGCATAAAAACCAAAGATTGGTAATGAATACTGCATGGGACAGGTTTTTTTTTATGTTTTTTTAATTAATTTTTACCGGCTCAATTTTAATCATTTTTTGAAATTTTAAATCTATTTCCTACATCTAAAAGTGTGTAGAATTTAATGGTAGAATTCATTTTGCCTCACAATAAAAGCTTCAATCTTAATATAAGAGTGTACACGGTTTCTTGCATAATTTGTACTGTATACAAATTTTCTTTGAATGCAAAATGGATACAGCCAACAATTTGAAAACCTTTCAAAGTGTAGGACATGAACTTAAAATTCCATAAAATAAGGATAATTAAGTGTGTAAGAATTAATTAAAGAAACATGTCAAAGGCTTTATTCAAGGTACATTTTTCATTTTGATGCAAATCGATTTATACCATAATTCTATACATGCCTGAAAGTGTAGGAAACAGATTTAAAATGTCAAAAAATCATGAAAATTAAGCTCTTAAAAATCAATTGAATTTTAAGGCTGATTACAGTATTCAGAATGAACCGTTGAGTTTTATGGAAATTGAATGTTACCAGTAAATTCTAAACACTTTGAAATGTAGGAAACAACTTTCAAATTTTAAAAAAGCAGAAAAATTAAGGTAAAACAATTAATGCAAATAATTGAGTGAAAAAGTGAAGAATTAAATGAAAAAACGGTGTCAAATGCAGTATAAAAGATGTAGTTCTCACTTTGATTCAAAATAATTTTTACCATAAATTTTAACATGTCTGAAAGTGTAGGAAAAAAGTTTAAAATGTGAAAAAAGAATGAAAATTGAGCTCTAAAAATTTAAGTGAAAAAATGGGTGTAATTACATTATTAAAAATGATCCATGCATTTTTATGAAAATTGGATTTCACCATAAATTTCTACACACTTAAAAATGTAGGAAACAACTTTAAAGTTACACAAAATCTTGAAAAATGAGGTAAAAAACTTAAAGCAAACAATTAACGGAAAAAATGAGTGGAAAAAAAAATTAAGAATCAAAAGTCATTTTTATGCAAAATAGACTTTAACATTAAATTCTAAACGTTTTTTAGTGTAGGAAACAATTTTAAAAAATCAAAAAAAATTAAAATTAACGGCAAAAAAAAATTAATTAAAAAAGCGCGTTTAAACACGGATTGCGCGTGTGCTGTGCCGCAGCAAAAGCGCGTCAAAACACGGAAAATGCGTGTTTTTTTATTAGGGGATTAATAAACGTACCCCCCTTTTCTGCTATCCACACCCAGTCTTTCTCACCTGGTTTTCTGCTTCTACACCTGGTTTCCCCCAGCCTTTTTGATTCATTTTTTTTCAATTCTGAATATGCTAAAAATCTTCTAAAATTGATCATTCTTTTTGCCTATATAAAAAATCCTCAAAAGAGAAATTTTGATTTTAATTTTAATTTGGGGATTAATAAATGTACCCCCCTTTTCTGCTATCCACACCCGGTTTTTCACACCTGGTTTTCTGCTTCTACACCAGGTTTTCCCCAGCCTTTTTAATCCATTTTTTGGCAATTCTGAATATGCTAAAAATCTTCTAAAATTGATCATTCTTTTTGGGTATATAAAAAATCCTCAAAAGAGAAATTTTAATTTTAATTTTAATTTATCTGATTCATCAAGTTTTTTTTCTGTCTATGAGTTTTTGAGAATTCAAAGTACATTTAAATTTATCATTGATATTGCCCAATCTTTGGGAAATCTATAATTAAGGACCAAATTTGATTTCATTTTGGAAATCCCAATGTTGTTGGTTTTGAGCTATAAGCAAATGGACAAAATAAGGAATATCTTGGATGGTACCATCTGTATGGAGAAGAAAAATTAAAAACTTGACAATTAATAATAATTTTTGGCTTTAATCCAAGTTTTCAAGAGTTCATAGGGTCAAAAAAAAATCGGAAAAAAATGGGTGAGAAAAATAAAAAAATTGAAGTTCTCTTTTGAGGATTTTTTCTATACCCAAAAACAATGATCAATTTTAGAAGATTTTTAGCATATTCAGAATTTCCAAAAAATGAATTAAAAAGGCTGGGGAAAACCGGGTGTAGAAGCAGAAAACCAGGTGTGAAAAACCGGACGTGGATAGCAGAAAAGGGGGGTACGTTTATTAATCCCCTTTTATTAAGGCCCTTTTTTTTTTAGTGCTTATTGATTTGACATTGCGCACCATAGTGAATACTAGTGTCTATATACATACGATGACATTTTGAAAAAGGAAATACATGGAAGAATATTTTGAAAAATATTTATAACCTTGAGTGTTTTTTTTTTAAAATAGCTTTTGATGAAAGAGAAGAAAAAAGAGAAAAAGCCGCGCCCAAAAAAGAAAAATCATGAAAAAAATCCGTCTCTTTTATCGAGACTAAACCCCTCATATGAAACCGAGTCCGACTGTCTTTTGTCACGACTGCGGCCCAGACAGCGTGTTATGAGTTTGCTCAAGCCTCATACCCTGGATTAAAGCGGGCAGAAAGATGACCAGACTCGACCTAAATTTAGGATCCAGCCGGATTACCCTGCCAAAATACAATGGTTATGAAAAATAGTGTGTGAGTAAAATAACTTTTTTTTTTTTGGAGAGAAAAAGAAATGAAATCACAGAAGAAAAAGATAGATGAAAAATAAAAATAAAAGAAAACCTGCAAAACTAATAAAGATTTTTTTTTTATTCGCCTTCCATATGGTTTTTGATATTTTTGAATCGTTTGGTGTCAAGGATGAATTCCCAAAGAAGTTTGAATACCGAAGGATTGTCAAGTAAGTCTTTCAGCGAATTAGGATTGATTTTGATTTTCTTTGCAATTAATCTTGATCTGAATACTTTACGCTGACGATTGAATCTTCTACATTGAATTAGAAAATGCTTGACCGTTTCCGGAGATCGACAATGAATACAGTTTGGCAAATCGATTTTGTTGATATGAAAAAGGAAATCGTTGAGAGGAGAGTGACCCGATCAAAGTTGATAAATAATCAAGGAAAGACCACGCTCGAGATGGTTAAGAGACTTAAAGATCTTGATAGGTATGTTGGATAATGAAATCTGATTCCGGATGATAGGAAGTTTTCGTTTGTTGAAACTAAATTTTGATCTGATGATTTGTTGAATGTTTGAAAGTGATCTAGGTTGTTGTTTGAGGTTGAATTGATGATTCCCTTTTGTTGCTTCCTTGGCGAGTTGATCCACTTTTTCATTTTCCGGGATACCGACATGCGCCGGACACCAGAGAAGAGAAATCGAAGCTTGATGGACTGAAATTAGATAGTTCAACTTGTCGAAAATCTGAATGAAAATAGCTTGATTGGATGATGATCGAGGCGGTTTAGCAATAACTTGAAGGGTGGCCTGGTTGTCGGAAAAGATGTTGATAATGTTGGAAGAAGGTAAAGAATTTCTCTGAATTTCATTTTTGATAATGTCAAGACCGATGTTGATTGCTTGAACTTCTGCTTCAAAAGCTGAAGCTTTATCCGCATCGTTGATTCTACAAGCAAAAGAGATCGAGTTATTGAGAAGAGCCGCTGAAGCTGAACCTATATCAGGAATATTGGAACCATCCAAGAAAAGGAGAGTTTCATTTTTATCTTTTTTATCATAGATTTGGTTAGTAACAATACTTTTGGCTTTTTCTTTTTGGATGTTAAGGTTAACAACATCAAGGGCAAAGTTCGACCAAGGTGGAATGACATGAAACTTGATGATTTCAAGAGCTTGGAGATCGTAATCTGGAAGAAGATGGTTATCAAACAAGTTGTGGATTGAAGAGAGGTGAGATCGAG